GTCTCGAGCGCAAGGACATCGCTAGAGATCACCTTCAATAGAGTCATAAAGAATGACTCCCATAGTTTGGTATCAAATGTGTCGGCATCATCCGGTGCCGGGAGGAGTTTGTCAATTAGCAACACTGCAATATGTTCAAGACTTTTGATAGTCGCGCGGTGGTTGTACACATGAATACTGAACCAGGTCTCGGGATAAGCCTCGCAATCGAGAATGGAGTTGTGGGCCTCAAGGGTCTGAGCGACAAAGAGTGCGAGCTCCAATTCTTTCAAGGAGGGCAGCTTGGGAGACGCGATCTTGGAAATAGCAGCCATGAGCGCAGATATTTCGACCAAAGACTCATCGAAGCTTTGAGGAGTCTTGGCAGTCTTCATTTGGAAGGGGAAAGCCTTGCTGAAAAGTAAAGACAGGTATTCCGTCTCATCTACACCCTCTGCGGAGATAGCACAGTAAGAGGCGACGATGTTTGGCATGAATCCGTAGATCAGAGGATCTGGCTGGCTGAGCAATTGAGCCACGATGGAACTACTCAGGCGCACCTGATCACGGTACAAATCCGAGACGCGTGAGGTGGAACCCCAGTACGGGGCCAGCCAGCCAATACAACTGGAGATCAAAGTGCGTCTCTCCTCGCCAGAGGTGAAAACATCGAACAGGGTATAGTTCTGAATGAGAACCAGCTTATAAAGAATCAGCATGCCGGTGACATCCTTGCATGAGTCCATGAAACTCAGAGCGATCATAATAATTTCATCCTTGCTCAGGACATTGGAGAGCTCAGGTAACCATGAATGGAAATGCTGAACCACCAGTGTTTTGCTGCCCACCAAAGCCGGCGAGGAGTTTTTCATCAAAGTCTCAAGAGCCTTGAAAATGGTGTGCATGTCTCGGTTGAAGGTGGATTGCACCGTGGTGATGCCAATACCTTCTTCTTTGGCCTTTTGCTGCTCGCGGGCCTTGATAATGAACTTCAACAGATGGCGTCCGACCTTGAAGGCAGCGCGAAGACTGCGAGATTGCGTACCGTCGGTCGCTGCGTTCAAGAGCCGCAGGTAGCTTCGGATAAGACACGGGGTGACGAATGGAAAGTTGAACTGCTCATCGGCGTAGCGGTCGACCAGCGGACCGAGGTTGTATCGTCGATCATGAACAATTCCCAGAACAGTGACCAGGTTGTTGAAAATCAAGTTCTCGTATTCTTCATTACCAGTATTCTCCACCAGGATTCCAAAGAGGGCATCGAAGACACCGCTGAGTTGTTTCACAATCTCGATCTCGGGAACAAAGAGTAAACGCTTCAGGGTATCTAGGACCTCGTCCACGGGCCGCTCTCGCCAGTTCAAAAGACTCAGAATAACCTGATCCTGGGAGTACTCTGTGCTGCAGAGGTGGGTTTCAAGGTGCAAAGTGGCCAATGGACCGGTCACAGCTTCATCTTTGGCGGATTCATTCTTGCCGAGCGCGCTCCATGGGAGGTTGAGATAAGCACCCCTTCCATTCTCAATGCTAGATGTCTGCTTGTCATAGGCATGCAACAGCAAGGAATGACGCCCATCTCTAATGAAAGCCTGCTGGTCCCAAAGGGGCATCCAAGCAAGAGCAAAGGGAAATTCTGGTGCATCTGCAACACTCATGACCATATGCGAGCCAGGAATTTGTTCCGTGGGGATCTTGAGGCGGATCGTTTGGTTCCAAGGCGAGCCCCGCTGGGCAATTGTAGTGCGCCATGCCGTGTTCGAAGTCTTGGATGATGAAGGGAAGACACATTTGTCTATCCGTGCTCCTTTAGCATCTCGGACCTCGAGAGTAAGTTGGAGATTGTGGAGTCCGGTGGTCGCCTGCAGAGGAATTTGACCAGCCTGTGGGTGCGAGAGAAGGGCATCTGTGGGAAACACAGCCTGAGATAGGGTCACGTAAATGTCGGATCTTGGCTTCGTTGGAGCCTTGGAGAATCCAATGCGCTGTGTCTGTACGACATCATGCAATATAGTAGGATTCTGACGGATCAAGATCTCGGCGTCGCTACTGGTAAAGGGGCGCAGGTGGAGATGTAAGCGTGCTGCAGGATCGGCACGCACATACCGGCCGGTGGGACTAGGAAGCAAGGCTCGGATCAACTTGTCAAAGCCATCCGTCAGCCCCTCACCGTCTTCCCCGTCTCGACGGGGCGACCAAATGTTGATCACCTGCTCTGCGTCCTTATCCTGCCGGAGAACGGGTGAGATCTCCAGGATCCCAACGCCAACAGTGCGGATCGCCGAAACCTCCTTCGTTGGGGTGGGTTGAGGGGTGGTTGGCTCTTTCAAGCTGGACGCACTGCTCGATGTTCGTGGAACTCCTTGGGTAGTGGGCTTAGATGGCTGATCGAAGCTCGGTCCACGTGGCTTGGCTGTCCACATCATGCTGCGTCGCGTTTTCAAACTGCCCTTAACTGAGGGATGAACGCCCCCGTTTGCAGTAGCCTTGGTTGGGGTCGGACTGTCTCGTGAGATTGAGGGCCTCGACACCGGAGTGGCATCAGATGTGGACCGAGTCTCTGGAGCACGAACCCAAGCAACTAGATAGAGCTGCCGCCCATTTGCGGACCCATCTCCGACATCTGTTGCGGCCAAATCGGTGAACAGCGTCTTCAGTTTACTGCTTTGGCTCATGTTGATGAACTTATCAGGAGACGGGATATCTAAGCTAAAGGTCTCGGATAATGGACTGAGTGCGCCGGCGTCTGATCGGGAAAACAGCTGGATTCCAATGGTCACTTGGCCTGGCGCATTCCCTGATATCGCATTGATTTCCAGCAGAAAATGATGGAGTGCGGTAGCATCGGATGTTTGAGTGGGATGGGAATCGAGCATACTCATCTCAGACTGTAGCTTTGCCAATTGGATAGCGGAGTCATCACCCGTCAGCAAACGGCCTCTTTGTTCGGGATCGCGAACGATCACGTCCCCGCTGAGCATTTTGTTTGCCTTGACAAGTTTCCAGACTGTCTCGACCCGCAATGCTTCCTTCTCCTTTCCGGTTAGAACATTGTGTAGCAATTGTCGTCTCGCAAAGTCCAGCTCTTGTACAATAGTTGACATTTCCTCCAGCACATCATATCGACGTGCCAACAGCAGTTCATGTAAATTGGTCGAATGCCATTCGCGCAGACACGATGCGATCTCATCGACCAGTGGCTCCGTGAGAGAAGTCGGAGTTTCATCACCAATCTTCAGCATTGGAACTGGGGCAGCAGGTTTGGGCGCATCGGGATCGCGAGGAGCAAAGGAGACAGGCGTGTGCGGGATCGACCCCGTCCGCCATTGCGGACTTGCCTGATTTGACCCCTCGGTCTTGTGAATGATAATTTGAGAGGGCTTCCCCTTTTTCGCAAAGACCACATCAGACACCTCACCAGCAGCCGGGAAGTCACTGACGGAATAAGCCAGACTATTGCGGGACATGAAGTCTCCATCCCAGCCAGACAGTGTCAGTCGATCAATGCTCTTCCGATCGCCATTCAGCAACGCTTTATATCCATCGCCATCGCCGAGCACCTCTCTAATCTCGACACAGTTCCGCGGGAAAATACCGGAGAACACGCGAGCTTCGAGTGTTTGACCCTTCGTGCTTGTCAAGCCGGCTAGCAGCGAGGGCGGCGCAACCAGATAGCCTCGGCACCACTCGCCATCCTTTCCTCCTTGTTCTATTATGTACAGCTCATCGCCAAGCTCCAATGGTAAATCTGCGGGGGAAGATGGGTTGAAAGGGTATATGGCCACGGCAAAGGCGATGCGAGGCAGCGGCCGCCAGGGCATGGCTGTGTTGTGAATCGCTCGACGCGATTAGAGCTCGGTGTGCCAATCCCCACAAACGGATCTCCGATCGCAAGTTTCGCGGGAAGGGGTTCGGGGTGGATCGAGGAATGTTCGTTTCGATGGCCACATGCAATGGGGGGATTCAAGGTCTCGGGAATCAGAGGAATGTGGGGACGAGGAATGTTATGCGACAGGTAACGATCTAAAGTGACATGATTAGAGAGGGTACAACCAAAGTAGCCCTGTCGGAAAGCGAGGAAAAGAAGGAAAGATTGTCTACACAGACAAAAGTCTGGAGTTGCAATTGAGCATCCGTGCCCCCCTTGACATTTTGGTGGAGACACAATTTAGAGCCGTGGGGAAGAGAAACTCACCGTAAAAAAAACACACACACACACACACAGAACAAGAAATCTGAAAAAAATAGACAAAATAGAAATATCGGAAGAGAGGGAGAGATTGCAAGGAGAAGAACATTCAGATCGAAGATCATCCCCACATCATCTTAAGAGCCCAAGTTGGGACTTTGGATAACTGCTTGACCTTGCTTCATTAGATCTCCAGACTGTTTCAAGATCTCCTAGCATGTAAAACAATAATTGAATTCTGATTTGATCAAGTATAATGTGATAGATCCTATTATTCAATACATTACTACCGGTACTCCGTCCACATTACTCCGTACATGACGACCTGTTCCCCCTGAACCATATGAACCCGAACGGTGGGTCAACCTAACCAATAAGAAGGCACTTTGGTATAGAAGACTTGATATGGTCTACAGTCTTCTCACCTCTTCTTAGATGCTTGTTTAATAGGGTATTATAGATATGACCGAGTAGGAATAAGAACCAAACATCGACAACTTCAACTCAATCCCGACGCTCCATAGCAGTGTGACATCTGCAATGGCATGTTGGCTGCATACCCCTTGAGATCCAATATTCTGCATATGGACCGTTAGGGAAACGGTCTAGTCTTATCACTGGACTGTGGATCAATCGCGTGGAAGTTCTATGCTTGCATTCCATAAAAGGGGGATGATGCACCTTGAGGTATAGAGAATGGCCTCCTAGAACCGATTAAGAACGTGAAAAGAGCTTCTCTGATATAAAAAAGATGCTTAGCGGAACGAAGGGTGACTATATGATTGACAATTTCTCGTCAATCTTCGTTCGCTATATTTACAGCAATGTCAATTTTTCAATCCACTGACTCCATCGCCCGCCTCCGTGCAAGTCTCTCTGACCGACGAGGTGGTACTCGCTGCCGAAATTTGCAAACTACTTTGGAGCCATAGGGATTGCGTGTGGGAACAAAGCGTGAGCCCTCCTCGGCGATCAATATCTTCAGCCGTAAGTGGAAAGCCACTAATGGATCTGAGAACTGACGACACTTTTTCTCTTGATTCTCCCTTTCCAAGTGCACCAACTCAGGTGCTTCACCCGTAGTCCTGGGTGGTAACATGTCGAAAGTCAAGGTGTTGAACTCGTAGTGCATTTCTTTCCAGCGCTTGGGACACGGTAATCCTTTATTGAGTCCCGCCTTCAATGTCAATTTTAGGAGTCTTCCAAATCCCCTTGACATGCCCGGAGATTCGGAGCTTGGATTAAATTCTCGTCGTCGAGTGGCAAAGAAATTGGAACCGATCTCTTTTGCCGTCTTGTACGTCAACTCAGGCTCAAAGAAATGGCACTCTTCATACAAACCCAAATATCCGGAATAATCTCGCACCAAATTGCCAATCCGTGAATGGAGAGCGAGTGTCTTGAGGTTTGAGAAACCACGCGCTAAAGTGTCTAGAACTGCCTGAGGCTTTAACTATAGTCAGTCGATCATTCTTCCAAGAAGGTCAGGAACTACACTTACCCACTCATTTGTTCCATTCTCGCGCTCAATATCCAGCTCCAGATTCTCCAATCGAGGACACAATGTATCCAAAGAAATCAAGTCGTCGTTACTCAACACGAGGCGAGAGTCTAGACAATTCCAGGTGTCGCCGATATGCACACAGAGGTTGACCAAACGAGTATGACGAGCAATAACGTGCAGTGGAACAAAGCAGTTCAATATTTCCAGATCCACTAGTGTGTCAAAAAGCACCAAGAAATGCTCCAGGCTTCGGCACAGCTCTTCGTTTTGGACGTCACTCCCTATAACCTTCAAGTGCTTAAGATTGATCAAACGCCCTGTCATGAGTTTGATATTCTCAAGCACAAACAACCCGCTGACTTCGAGAGACGAAAGACTGGACCAATTGAAATCAGCTTCCCACCCATGCCACATTGCGCTACCTAGATAGTGTCCATCAAGAGCTAGATGTTCAAGTGAAGGTAAAGGTTTCGGAATGTCGAACCCCTCAAAGTCGCTGGGTGTCTGACCATTAGATGCCTCATACCCACTCACTACCCACGAGCAAGACTTCAAGTTGGGACAAGAAGTGATGAAATTCCGGAAGTGGTGGATCTTCAGCGGAGGAGAATACATGTTGGTATATAAGTCTTTCTGCTGGTGAACTTTGATCAAGGTCACTCTTGGGAGTGGATGAGAACGGAGATGTTCACCATCCTCTTGGAGCAAGTGAAGTTCCGGCTTTCGGGGATGCTTATCAAGGCATGTCAGACAGTTTTCGATGGTATCGTAGGGAACGTTGAGCCTGCGACACATATTAGTCACCCCGGGCCTTGAAATTTTGACTGTAGAAATGGGCAGTTTTGTACTTTACGCAACGCAGATTCGGGAGGCCCTCTATCAACTTAGAGATAGGCTGTTTGTTCTCGTTTGGCCCCCATCCGTACGATCGACGGGGTGTGATAGTGATATTCCGAACAAAACACCGTGGTGAGTCGCGAGAGGTATCCAGCAGCCTACACGCAAGACTACCGGGATAACCTCTCACGAAATGATCTGTCACCCCGATGTTGAGAGAACGATATAAGAAAGAAGTTATCAGATCGTTCATCGCTTTTGAGACGAGGCAAAGACTGGCCAAGTCCTTTCCGCTCAGATCGAACTATGATTTGTTAAGTTTCAAGTCCATCGGACTTAGATATCGGGAGTAACATACGCTTTCGCATACTAGATACCATGCATACCAGGTTGAGTCTGTGAATCCGCACTGGGCTTTAGCACGTTTTCGTTTTGAAGAGGAATCTGCAGCAAATGGAGGGCTTCGCTTCTGGCCTTGGACTGGTGTCCCAGCCCCTGGTAAGCGACCAGTCCATGGTTCTCGAGGGAAGTTCATGTTAAGATTGAAATTCAATGAAGGAGTAAAGTCCGGGTGTCTCTATTAAAAACGATTGAGCCAAGGGCGACCTTACCCGAAAAGGCTACAGGGCTGTACACGGTCTTACTAGTAATCTCCCGAGGTCGTCTTTTCCCAGCTGACTGAAAGAAGTTAGGTGAGGCATCCACATTATTAACGGGCTAACCCAACATTCGTATTGGACAGTTTAGTTGAACACATATAACTCATGGAACCTACCATTGGTATACCTATGCTAGTCTCTTGGCACTGGTTGTACTCACACGGATTAGTCAAGCTGCTATACAACGACACATTCATTGCCCGGAATTGTCGCTTGTCATCGATTTCAATTCCCATCAAGAAAGAACTCGGGGATATTGCAAGTTAATTTGAAGAAAACTTTGCTACGAGCTTGATTTCGAAGACTGCCCAAGCCGGTTCAGGTGGCATGTTGGTGTCTCATCTTACCATCCAAGAATGTATATACTCAAGACGCAAAGAAGATCCGATGAGAGAGTAAAAGAGGAAAGAAAAAACAAAAAAAGGGGAATTAAAGTTCAATAAGTACATCTCATTTCCGGAACATGCTAAGGGTCTCTTCCTTGCGCCAGTCCAGATCCAATTGACCCTCGTAGACTTCTTCCATAATCTGCCGCGTGCGGTCATAAGTACTCTCATAACGGTTCTCGCACTCCCGAAGGACCTTGATAACAAGACTCCGGCTAAGACCAGGGTCATCGGCATCGCCAAAGTGCTTCTCCACACGCTTTTTAAGCATTTCAATGCCACGGCGGATTTCCTTATTATCATACGAGGCGAGAACCTTCTTGGCCACCATGCGGGAGTGGCTGGCACGGGCTGCGATGTCGGTCGGGTTACCGCCAGCGGAGAGGAGACTGTCAATTGATTGGACGAAATCAATCAATTTGCCCAACGGACGATGAATGACCGCATCAAGATAGAGCTTCATGTGCTCCTGGAAGTCTTGGTGGGCCCTATCGATCCAGCGTTCAAGCGCGGGAATGTTGTGCACATCCACTTCTTCGATGTAGTGGTTCATGTTCTCGATGAGAAGGATGTGATAGTTCAGGATCTCCTTGTCTTCCGGATCGCCCGCACCCGCTGTGACACCTGGAGGTTGGCCGGGTGCTTCCTTGGCAATGAATTTGAGTGACTCCCACATCGCACGGTTGATGCGGTCGTACGCGTCATTGACACTAACGCGAATGTCACAGAAGGCGTTGGACGGGGAGGACAGCATGCTTTCCACCGCATTGGAAAAGTTCGGGAACACTCGCATGAATGAAATTACTCCCTTCCGCTTGTTCACCTTGACTTTGGTGTCCTCAATGCCTCGGATTTGCTCATCGACAAATCGGTTGAAGAGTCCCATCAGGCGGGAATGGATCTTCTGTAGCGCATGAAGAATGAACTCTTGATTCGTGTCATCAAAGTCGTTCATGGCAATCTCCAGGGCATAAAGAATACCAATTCCTTGAAGGGGATCGGCCTGCATCGCCCAGTCCACCATGCTCTGCATGTCATTCGGCCAGAATGAGTAAACCTCATCCATGATCTGCTCGACTCTCTTTGCCGTTCCTCGATCAGGGTCATGCGGCCGGTTGGCAGAGAAATCGGGACAGGAGCGGTTTTCTGGAATGGTCGCAGCTACCAAGTCGGGGAAGTCGGCGCTGGCAAGAGAATCGAGATGGAAGAATTGGATAATGAAGTTCTGCTCCTGAGCCATCATGTTCAGTGTCTCCCGCAGAGTCCCACCGAATACCTCAGATGGCTCAGCCCTTCCTTTTTTTCCGCCGCCCGAAGCCAGTCGAAGCCCTGCGGCAGCCCGCACCGTCTTGCCTCGTCGCACCGTGAGTTTCCGTGCAGCCATGGTGAGACCCTCGGTTTCTTTCTCCTTCTCTTGGTGCGTGAAGAGAAGTTCCTGCTCATCTCCGGTTGGTTTGCGTGCGGTCTTCTTCCAAGCCAGATTATTGTCACGGAAGTCGCTCTGGTACGAGAGCTTGGACTGCTGCTCATAGAGACCGACAAGGCTATGCCACTCTGCCATGCTAACCTCCTTAGCAAACAGCATCAGGGCGTTATACCGCCAGACCTCTTGACGGAAGTGCCCTCGTACGGCATTGTCCAATTTCATCGAATCCTTGGCACCATTTGCTAAATCAATGCGTTGTTGTTCCGCCATTTTGAAGGCAAGTGCCATGAACTGCTGCAGCCGGCCGAGGAACATGTTTGCGGTAGAGCGATACTCTTCCTTCTTTTGTTTGATCGCACGCATCTGGCCAATTTCCGTATCAGCATAGACACCGACACTGGCATCGACTTGACGTTTCTTGTTTTGTCCAATGTCAGAGTCAATTGTGACCATGGCCTTGTACAACGTCGCCAGGGCGCCTTCAGTATCCTTCAACCCATCGGGGTTACTCAAAGAGGCCTCCTTGAGTGGTCCCAGCTCGGATGAAGATATTGAAAGTGTCTTCAAAAGAGTTTGGAGTTCGTTTTGCAGCAGCTTCTGATTTGCCGCTTGTACCTGCAGACCTTGACCTTGAGCCTCGATATAGGCGACGTCCTCGTGAAGAGTCTATAATACGATCTTGTTAGCAAACCAAAAAATAATCTCATTTCTGCAATTCCAAAACTTACGTTCAGTTCGTGGGAATAAAGGGTTAGTAGACCATCCAGCTCATCACACTCCTCAATCGTTCTGTCGATCAGGCTTGCAAGTTGTTCAACCTTTCCTTCCTGCTGTTCAAGGTTTCCAAGCCAGCTGGTGGCCTCGACACGGCCAATTTCACGGCGAACATCTGCTTCCAAATCTTCAATCTTCTGTTCATCGGCCAACCGTCCATTCCAGCCTAAATCAGTAAGGATGTCATCGAATTCAATACCACGTCCGTCGAGGATGCTGGGATCGATTCCAAGGGCTTGGCAATATTTCATAGTGTGGTCTTCACGGCGTCTGCGACGACGTCCTTGAGCTGCCGGGGATGGCGATCTTGAACGATCTTCAACCTTTACAACAATATCAGAGAGGTTCTCACGAGAAACCTCAGGAGTTTGAACAGGGGCCACCGCGATGTCCTGAGGAGCTGGCTCTGTTATCTCAACAGTCGGTGTTTCCGGCCCTGCAGAGGGCGTGGGAAGTTGTAGATCTTGTTCTGACTTTGTTGCCACTGGACTCTGTGGGGGATCAGTTGCCGACCGTGTAAGAGACGGCGCCGGAACAACGCTGGTGATGCCATCAGGGCCCGCGATATCGGCCTGTGACTTCTTCGCGGCTGCCAGCAGTCGCTCACCAGCCCCACCAGCCCTGGGCTTGAAAGTACTATAAGCATTTGCAGCCTTTCTCCAGGCCCCTGCAATATCTTTGCCTTCCTTTTTCTTAACCATAGGGCCGAGTCCCGGGCGTTCAGCCTCTTGCTCTGGCGAAGCTTGGGATGGAGAATCCCCAACAGGAACAGTTTCGACGGGGGTCTTTGGTTTTTCAATTGAAGGCGGAATAGGCTCTGCTGGGGGCAGATTGGCAGCAATCATAGCAGCAGGCTCTGCAGCCAGTCCCTCAATTGCCGGTGACGAAGACGGTTCCCGCGGCTGCGCGGAAGGTTTAGCCGACAAGCCATCTGATGCGCTTCTCTCTTGAGGCAGAGAGGGCTGATTAAACGTGAATGCCTTCTCGCCGCTACCACGTTGGGGAGACTTTGGCCCAATGCTAGGCATAGAACGTGAGGCTGAGGCTGTATCCCCACTATCGTTATTGAAAGAACTGGAAGTAGCAGGACGAAGTGCATCATTGCTGCGCATAAATTCTGGTCCATTGTTTGGAACTGGCTGGGTAGCAAGAGGAGGGGGCTTGGGACCACGATCCTGGCTGCGAGCCGAAGATGGGCGGAGTGACTCGGGGATATCGGCATAGCTGCTGGCTTGTGCTGCAATATTCAGATTATCAGTCCCTCTAGGCTCTGATAATGAGCTCGGAGGGTTTGAATTTGCTGCGCTACGCTCAGGTGCGCGTGGCGGAGGCTGGTGGTCCAGAGGTGGCCCAGAAAGGAGTGAAGGAGGAGGAGATTTGTGTATATCGAATGGAGATGGTGCCGGTCTGCCTTGTCCTGTAGATGGCCGAGAACCGGTCGATGGCCGAGACATCTGCTCGCGGCTTTTTTGATTGCGAAGGGTCGGGTCTTCGGAAAGCTTTCTGTTGACATCTCGAGGAGCATCGCGGCTGGTATCACGACCTCTGTAGGACGGTTGTAGCGAAGGGGGCAACTGGCTGTCCGATGTTTGAGGCATTGGACCCGGCCCCCTTGGGGGTGGACCACTAGGAGGGCCACCTGGTTGTCCTGGCTGTCCCCTTGGTGGTGGACCGTTTGGTGGACCGCCTAGTTGTCCTGGTTGCGCTGGCTGCCCCCTTGGCGGCGGACCATGTGAAGGACCGCCTAGCTGTCCTGGCTGTGTTGGCTGTCCCCTTAGCGGTGGACCATGTGAAGGGCCGCCTGATTGTGCTGATTGCGCCGGCTGTCCTGGCTGCCCCGATTGTCCATGCCTTGCCAGCATTTGGCGCTCATTGTCATCAAAACCAATTAGGTTGGGTATTTTTCCATTGGTGTATTTCCTATAGATCTTGACCAAACTCCCAATGAAGAAATCCTTTTCCTTTGAAGTCCTGGCATGCCAATAATATGGCTTTCCAATTGTGACCGTGAACCCTACATTGCCAGCCCATTCTTTTTGTTGCTGCTCTCCTGGTGTTTTCGGCACAAGAGAGGTAAATGATTGAATTGCGGTTAAATCGTCGAGCATCCAAGTCTTGCCGATAGAGTAAGTCCCCTCATTGTTCTCACGAGCTTTGTGTATGCGGACTCTGCCCGACTTTCGAACCGCTATGATAATGATACGGGGTTTTTTGTTCTCCGGTGGTCCGTTTGGCGGGGAAGGGCTGGAGGGGTGCGCTGCATCCTCGGTGATGCGGACATGGGTGATATAAGACTCGAGCACTGGGGGCCACAAGACGGATTAGCAAAGATCGCGAACGACATAATATCTCGACGTAGCAAATGTGTTGCGATCTCGTATGGACACTATACATCACTGTCGCAATGTGTTGCTAAGCACACCACTATTGATTGAACTCGAGTGAGAGGGCAACATTGGGGAAGTACGTTGATTGTATACGTACATAACCCATCTTCATCCTTTTTTGCGAAACAACTATGAATGATCCGCTTCTTCTCGTCCTCAAAGGCGGCCCCTCTTGTCATAGTGCTTGGGCTAGAGCCCGAATCAGACTGTAGGTCTCCGCGATTGAGCGGCGGCCCTTGCGGAGGCCCACGGGGACGGTCTCTGCCGTTCATGATGGTGTCAAGGGATAGAGCTCACGTGTGGGTAGCCGCGAGATCAAGGGGACATGGTCGGGAGGATCGGGATCGGCGACGCCACAACGCACCACGCGCCGGAGGAATTGAATCCGTCGAGGTACAATGCGTCTGAGGCGGAATTTGACGAGGTACAGAGCAGTACACGTTGTGGTCTAAAGTAATGCAAGTGGCCAGCGCTGAAGTTCGAATTAGCTCATCAAGGTTGTCTCGGCGGAAGGCGGAGAGCTTGGAGCGGAGTATTGAATTGATCCGGGGTTGGCCAAACGCGGTAGATAAACGTGTGGAATGTCCGACATATATTGAAAGGATTTGCACGGTGATGGCTCATTGAGCTCTCACTCTACTACATAGTACTTGCTTTGGGGTTTACTGACCTATTGAGGTGTGCTATCACAAATGCATAGCAAACATCTGTGAATCTGATCCTATTGATTGGCTCAGGTGGACAAGTGCTAGCATAAAATTAGTCAGCTATCCCTATGCCTCGGGCCAGCCCTGGATGGCTCCAGTCCTCTCCTGAGGCCTGGAGCCTTGAGAGATCAGGCTCTATCACATGAGGAATCGATACTGCAAAGGCATTCCGTATCATACGTTCAATTTACTATATTCTATGCATCGCATTCACTATCTCTGGTCAACCATATCCTCCACCATTCCAACTATCAATTTCATGGGAACATAAACAAGCTTGCTGAAACTAGCGCAATTTGGATAGATATGCTGTAGCTTACTTATCAAAAGCTAGATATCCTTGGAATTCAAAGTTCCTCTAGAAGAAATTGCGCGAGACAAGTGTTAGGAACCCGCTATAGCGGTATACCAGTTTGTAACTTCCCCTGCTACGGTATCAGGGTATCATCAGCTAAGCATAAATGCTTGCTTCTATAGATTAACGACAGAGGATAGTTTCGTTGAGCTCAGGGCACTCGAAAGTGTACCTAGGCTATATAAATAAGCCTTATTCATGAGTGTGTTTGAAATATGTTCCTCACCTATAATATATGATTATATAAACAATTCCATCAATAGCACTCAGTAGTGTGCAGCCTTCTCTGCTGGGTGTTAGCACATGATAGAATGCCCATTTGGTCTTTATAGCTCAGACTTATGGTTATTGGAACCAGAACACCCATGCACAGGTCCTTTGATCTAAAAGCCGGAATAGAATGGTCCTAAAAGTACCCTATCATATAAAAATGCATTGAAGAATAGAAAAAAAAATCAAAGTAAGTAGATATCGGATATATCCTAGTATAGAAGTCAACTATAGATATAAGGTGCGTTTTAGTGAAGTAGTATGCTGCCAGGTGGACCACATAGATTGTATAATAGAATGGACGACCGCCTATCTCCGCCGCTCACTAACCTCCGCCAATAACCGCGAAGCTGACATCTCACCGCCTTTTATTTAATATTTTTTTTTTCGCTCTCTTTTTTGGTTCCTGGCAGATTATTTCTAAATCGTCTCTCTCCTTGCGGGTTCTCTGACTTTCGCTATCGAAACGAACCATTCAGTCACTATGGCCAAGATTTCCAGCAAGAAGACTTCGGTCAAGAAGGTACGTTTTATTTACTTTCAACTTGATATGCCGATTGGCATGATCAACAGACAAATACAGGATTGGACTGACAATGCTTGAATTTCAGACCGAGTCTCCCAAGACCAAGTCAATTCCCCCTCAGCTGATCGCCTCGGTCGCAGCTTTCTTGTCGGACAATTTCCCAGAGACCAGCACCGCATTCACCAAGGAAGCGGCAAAGTCGAGCAAGAAGAGCGATGCGAAAAATGCTCCCTCCCTCTTGGAACTATTCCAGGCCTCGGAGCAGAGCTCTAGCGTGAAGAAGTCTGCTAGCCCCAGTTCTTCTTCCAGCTCTAGCAGCAGCTCCGACAGTGACTCGGATGTCGAGATGGGCGAGGCCACTCGCTCCTCTTCGCCCTCTTCGTCCTCGTCTTCTTCCAGCTCTGATAGCGATGCCGATGATGAGGATGATGACAAGTCCCCTGCCGCCCCCGTTGCCCCCGCTTCGGCTAAGAAGTCTGCCGGCGTGAAGCGCAAGGCCGAGTCTAGCAGCGAGTCTAGCAGCTCTTCCGACTCTGACTCGTCTTCGTCCGAAGATGACAGCCCCAAGGCCAAGAAAGCCAAGACCGCTCCTACCCCCAAGGAGGCTTCCTCTTCGTCTTCATCCTCGTCCGACTCATCCTCGTCTTCGGATTCCTCCAGCTCTGACTCCGATTCCTCGTCGAGCTCTTCTTCGTCCGATTCGTCCTCTGATTCGTCCTCTGATTCATCGTCTGATTCGTCCTCTGACTCCTCTTCTGACTCTTCCTCATCCTCCGACTCCTCTTCTGAGTCCGAGTCCGAGTCCGAGAAGGAGTCCAAGAAGGCCCTGAAGAAGGCAAAGAAGACTCCTCTCCCCGAGTCCGACTCCTCTTCCGACTCGGAAACTTCCTCATCCGGCAGCAACACCCTCGCCGCTTCCCCCGAGACCGAGACTAAGCCCGTTCAGAAGGCCGTGGAGGCCGTCCAGACCACCTCCTCGAGCGCTAGCCCCGCTCCTGGCAACGGACCCGCCAAGAAGAAGCACACCGGAGCTCGCCCCACCCCTCTGGCTCTTCTGAGCGAGCTGCCCCATAACCACCCCTCCAACGACTACATGTCGTACGCATACGCAGACCGCGCCTGGAAGGACCTGTCTGTGACTCGTGGCAAGGGATTCACCAAGGAAAAGAACAAGAAGAAGCGTGGCTCCTACCGCGGCGGTCCCATTGACATTGCCCCTGGCACCACCTCTTTCAAGTTCGAGGATTAAACGATGACGACTCTTTGCTTTTGCGACACAAACGTACTTGCTAGTCCATTATACCAGGCTATTGTCAGCATATAATCAGAAACATTGCCACCAAACCCACAAAGCACCCCCGACACTGGGCTTTTGTCTTGGATGTCGCCTTGTCGGAGGGATAGTCGCTATATTTTTGTTGCTGCAATGGATGAAAATGGAGATAGGAGCTCTTATATCCCGCATCATACTTTACCAATTTCACTCAGCACGGCGTATACGGAGCTATGGACAAGGTCTTTGGACCCAACATTTGCCATAGAATTTTTTTTGCTCATTAGCTTATATCAATCAAAAGTTTGGGATCCGTTCTAGACGGGTTTTCGAAGTGTTTGCAATTTTTCATGAAGTAGAAGAGAGACCAGGGTCATAACTCACCAATGCAATCTCCTACCCCGAGAAATCTCTTTCAAAACAGTGTGATGTGTATTGTACAAAGGAAGAAAACCACCATTCCATAACTTATCCATCCTGTCTCCTCCAAGCTCCAGGCTCCTCCAAAGTCTCCCATCTACAATCCCAACCCGTATGCGTCTCACGAGCCACATCTCCAGGCTCAAGGTCCTTGAACGCGCACTGATTCCTTAGCTTGGAAGTAGTGGCGAAATCGTCTTCATCTGGGCGCTCATATCCAGCCAAATTGAACGGCTCGGCGTTCCGGCGTGGTAAAACATCTGAACCCGTGTTCACGCCCAGGTCCAGATTAGACTCGTACCACTCTTTCTGCGGACCTATTAGGTCATCCGTAGACGCAAAGTCGAGCTGAACGACCCCATCCACGATACCTGTGTAAACGGTTGGCGAGGAGGGCGATGGTGAAGACATTGTATAGATGGGGCCTCGGTAAGGACCTCTTTGGCGGCGTCGGGTTGGGGCTTGGGTTTGTTGGGGGAATGTAGGGGGTGGTGGGTGTGAGAGGAAGATTGAGAAGCCCTTTCTAGGACTGGGTTCGGTGTTGGTTTTGGTGTTTGTTGCCATTTGTGTGTCTTGCGATTGCGAGGCTGGTACTTGTGCATCGAGATAATTGTATGTGTTGCACATGCGCAGGTCGAAAATCTTGACTAAGGCTTCGCCACCAGCTCCGGCTAGGAAGCGTTCATGGCCGAAAGTGTGGAGACTGTAGATGGGATTGAGGTCTGTGACGTCTCTGTAAGAGACTTCGTAGGACCTCGGGGAGCGCAGGTCGTGGAGTCGGACCGTGTAGTCATCCCAGGCGGCTAGGAAGACTTCGCCGGGAGGTCCTGCGATTTTGTGGTTATTGAGAGGCTCAATCGCACTGATTTTGGTCTTTGATCTGAGGCTTGTAGAGTCAGTGTCTAAAGAGCCGATTCCGATGTCTCGATATGCAGAGACACCATTTGGTGTGAGTTTCGAGATCGACAAGGAATTTTCCACATTCCCAGTTCCCACTGCTATTAGTGAGGAGGACAGCAGTTTGGAATAGTTGTTTCGTGAGGAGCCTTCTGGGAGAAGCCATGTGAATGGCTCGACCTGTTCTGTGTCGGTCTTGGTATGGTAGAAAGCGATGGATCCATTTTGGAAATGAGCAGTCAAAGTAGAGTCTGTGCCACTGATAAAATCGGATTTATCGAGTCTGAGTCCATATGACAAGAACTTCTGCTTGTGCTCAAATGTTCCTTTCTTAGGACATATGGCAAGGTGAGCAATATCACCTCGAACTCGACTAAAGATCAGATGCTCCACGTCGGTATCGTTGCTGTACTGGTTCCCCGAGGATAAAAGATGTAGAGAACAAATGTCATCATAGCTGCTGATATGATCGACATCATTGAAAACAAGCCAGTCTTCTTGCGATCGAGCACCCGTTTGCTTGATCCTCATCACAAGCTGGTTGGCAGCACCCCAGGCAAGGACCTCTTTCCTATCAGCCCAGCGCTGGCCATTCCATATCTCATAAGAATCAATTGCAGGCCTGTATCCGAGGGTCGGATTGTCTTGACGAGTCACCTCGTGAGAACCGATTTTGGTCGCAGTTTCGGGTGGCACAACGAATCGTCCGATGATGGCTTTTCTGTCCAAGGCCCGGGACCTAGAAGTCAAAGCTTGTGCTGCATCTTTCCAGAATGGTGGTGTTTCAATAGATGGGAACCTGCTTTGCACGAATGCCCGGAAGATCCTAGAATTTTCAGCTGTGATGATGCCGTGCAGTCGGTGACATGTCTGCGACAAATGGGCTAATGCATTGGCAGTCGGGAGATATATCGCGATGTGATAGATGATCTCCGATGGGAGCTCTGAGAGCATCTTGAAAATGGAAGCCTGATTCACAGGGATATGAAAGGAACAATTGTTTTGGGCTTTCAGACTATTGCCATCGCTCTTTGTTGTGTTCCGCCACTTTCGTGTGTTTTGTTGTTCATTGAGTGTGCTAGGGAAGGAAATTTTGTAGCAAGGCCCCCATTGGTTCAACAACGAGTAAGTTATAGCTCCGATCTGTATTCTACCCCACAATTGTCGATCGTGTGATGTTCATCTGTTGATACAAAATTTCTTGTAGCAGTTTCATACACAAATTGCCCCAAGTGGACACCAGTTGCCTTATGACGTAAGCATGTGAGCTCGCTTGGGCAGCTCTGGGGGCCTGTCCTCTTTTTTTTGGCTTCCTGCAAGCAATGAAGCAAGTCCTTGAGCTTTGAGCTGGAATCAGACTATAGCACAGGGTATAATAGCTTTCAATCCTACCAAGAATCTAAAAATAAAGGTGGTAGCAGACACCTGGCAGTCCATACGGCTATCGCCCTATCGCCCTATCACCTTATCGTCTTATCATCTTATCGCTTTCGCGGGGAAAGCGGTAACGTCGGCGTCGTCCCCCGAGGTTGGGCACAGTTTCCCTATCGAACCTACTACACATGTAGCTAGATAATGCGTCAGGTCTCGCATTGACCGTTTGGGAGAAAACTTTAGAATTCCATTACCTAACTATTCGCCTTCGGCAAAGGCAACACGAATCAGAGTGAGTGAATCTCAAAGGATATGGGGCCTATAGGTTAATCCTGCAATTAGGGAATACACTCGGCACTACCTGTAATACACGGATGGGCGTTGGCTGGTCTAACAGCTAGTGGCATAGTGGCGTCGGCAATCTCTATTGTATACCCCGACGCCTGGAGGGGGTTCCCAAAGCTCTTTTCTTATACCTGCTCTTTGGGAACAGATTCAAGTGCGATCCAGCATTTGCAATGGCATATTCGATCTTTGCCGCAGCGATAGCATTTTGTGCTGGTGTCATCTTTTATAGAGTGTTGATCTACCCAGTATTTCTCTCCCCGCTATCGAAGATCCCCAATGTGCACTGGAGTGCTTGCGTCTCACCGGTATGGATGCTCTGGAGGCGATTCACAAGCAGAAACAACCGGACAATTCAGGCCGCACACGAGAAACTTGGTCCTATCGTTAGACTAGGGCCATCGGAGATCTCGATCAACTGTGTTGAGGGAGGAATCAAATCAGTTTATGCTGGCGGATTTGAAAAGCATGACTGGTATCCACGAGTCTTCGCATCGTTTGGGTTAGTATGGAAACTGATCCATAGTAAGCAAAGTAGCTCACCATGCGGAACAGAACAGTGAGCATGTTTACCATGACAGGAAGCAAGGCACACTCGATTCGAAAGAGGATGTTGTCCAACATATACTCCAAATCAACTCTGCAGACATCTCCTCATATGCGAGTAGTTTCAGATACAGTCGTCTTCGATCGACTGCTGCCAATTCTTCAAGAAGCAGCAGTGTCCGGCAAAACTGTTGATATGCATGATCTGAACCAGGGACTGACAATGGACTTCGTCTCTTCCTATCTATTTGGTTTGAAGAACGGCACTAATTACCTGCAAGATGACTCAGTGCGGAAGCACTGGCTTCACCTTTACATGTGCCGAAAGCCATTTGAGTTTTATGCCCAGGAGGTCCCATATTTGGATGGATGGTTGCGACGGATTGGTCTTCGCGTGATACCCAAATACTGTGACGAAGCCAATGCAATGCTTGATGCCTGGACTCTGGACCTCTGCGACAGGGCCGAACAGATAATTTCAGCGACCGAACCGGGTGTCGAACCAACTGTCTACAAGCAGTTGAAGCAATCCCTAGACAAGCATTCCACAAAGAATGGAGAAACAGAGCCAGACAAGGCCCAGCAGAGACTCGATATTGCTTGTGAGATGTACGACCAGCTGACTGCTGGTTTTGAAACCAGTGCCGTTGGCCTCACTTATCTATTCTGGCAACTCTCCCGACACCCAGAAGTGCAGAACAAGCTCCGAGAGGAGCTACTCACCCTGAGTCCCACGATCTCGTACCCAAAGACAGCCGATCTGCCGCCAGCCAAGTCAATCGATAACCTACCCCTGTTGGAAGCGATTGTGACAGAAACATTGAGACTACATGCTCCGATCCCTGGCATCCAGCCTCGGGTAACACCATTTCCGTCGTGTACTCTGGCCGGGTATGCAGATATACCACCTAACACCCGAGTAAATGCGCAGGCATATTCATTGCACCGCAACCCGGAGGTATTTCCAGATCCAGAAACCTGGCAGCCGAGGCGTTGGCTAGAATCCGAAAACTCGACTGCCGATCTGGAAGAGAAACGCCGGTGGTTCTGGGCGTTTGGTAGTGGGGGCCGTATGTGTGTGGGAAGCAATCTTGCACTGCAAGGTATACCTGGATTGAATAATCTCCACTCTTGAATTATGCTGACCACTGCTTGACAGAAATGAAACTGGCCGTGGCTGCGATTTACACAAATTTCCGCACCACCATTGTCAACGATGACGATATTGAAGCCATCGATGCTTACACGGTGAAACCGACAGGCGATAAACTGATCCTCAGGTTTGAGTCTGCCTGAGATGCCATGAGAGAGAATATTGCACATGCAGCTACTACTAGAAGCAAGATGAAATAAGAGTATAATCAATTGTTGTGACAGGTGATTCCATACCCCCCATAGTTGTATATTGTACATATGAGTAAAAGCCAACTCCCATAGCCTCTGATGCAAAATGACCAGACCAAATCAGTAGATCTGACGAGGCCAGAGTATTCGCGTAATAATGTATCAAAAAGAAACCCAAAACTCCAGGTGGACAACTCGCTTCTGCTACCAGGTCCGGATAGATAATCGCGAACAATCCATTCGTACAAAGAACATTTTAACCGAGAACACCATCCTTCTTCCGGGGACCAACAACCTTGGGGTACATTCTCATGAGGTGGTAGTTGACGGTGTTCTTCTTCTGCTCCCTGGATTTCTGTAGGCGGGGTACCTCGTTAGATAATTGTTGATGATCAATGAATAGAACGATGGTGGATTATAACGTACCGGTGCATCCATGCACTTGCGCAATTGAGCCTCAAGAGCAGCGCAGCCCTCTGCGCCATATCCAGCAGAAGCCCAGCAGTCTGTTTTGTAACCGTAATGTTAGTAATGTACTCAAGATTTCGAGATTCAAGATGTTCGACATTTGGAATGCGAAGCCAAGGTGATGAGAGATTGACAGCGTCAATGTCGTGACGGTAGAGTAATAAACATACTAAGCATAGAGGACATCACAACCACGCAAGGGTTCGACTCATTTTGATTTGGCCGGCGGACACGGAGGTGGTTGATGGTGTTGAGACGCATCGGGTTGAGCCGGGTGGAGAGGGAGCCTTTGGGTGCCATGGTGGGCAATTATTAGGACGTAAAAACTGGCAACAAAGGTATCGATTGGAGCGAGAAGAGGCCAAATGCCTTGGTGCGTCCGTGTGCGGGATTAATGATGGAATACTGGCGCCGTCGACGGATCTTCGACAAACAAAATCCGAAGTTTCGGCCACTCCGCGGAGGTGGATGACTAATATTGATCGGCCCCGAGCTCTCTGTCTACCTTGAGGGCTTGCCACCCTATTGACAGATTCTGTACACTCTCTTTGGTGTCGCAAGTTCTGAGATCTAATAAAAATTTACTCAGTATGCCTGGGAAATACAGTTTGCCAACGCAGCTCCGTGGTCTTTCTTCAACATGCACCTTTAGAGCTTCAATAGCTCTCACGCCCAGGCGGTTCTCCACATCATGCCACCTGAATCAGACATCGCCCTCTACATCCAAAGCAGAAGATAAAGATGGCAAAGATGGCTCAAAGGAGGAGAACAAAGATAGTCCAATGGGACGCCGTCTGGCTCAGATGACCGAAGATGCGCTGCTAGAAGGCGGACGATCTGCGCATCGCAACTTTGAGCAGGCAGGTTTCTCCGAAGAGTTGAAAAATGAGCTCGCAGAGCGTATTGCTGCTTCTTCGTTCAGGAGTCAGCATGCTGCTGCTCATTCCATAGTCGAAATGCCCGTATGTGATTCTTATCATGTCCTACTGTCCAGCAAAAGCTGACCCACATTTCTTATCTTAGTCTGCCGCAGGACAGGGTACACGAGAGCAAGCCGCCGCTCCGGCATGGACAGGAGTAGAGCGCGTTGAGGACACGACTCTGCGCATGCTAGATGATGCGAGCAAACCAATCCGAATGCCCTACAAAATTCCCAATCCAGTGAACCTCAAACCTGCCCCGAAGCCTAAAAGGTCTCGCGGGGAACGGCTTGCTGAAGCGAAAGAACGTACTTCTATCTATACACAGAGCCAGGCTCCGGGATTTTCTGAAGAAGAGCGCGAGGATATGCGCCGTCAGATGAGGGAGGACTTGACACCCGGGGCTCATTCTATGCCGATCTCGATTACGGGTCTTTCGTCGCTGGCAGATGAGCGAATCGCAGATGCGATTGCGCGTGGACAATTTAAAAAGATCCGCCGTGGGAAGGGCGTAAATACAAAGCCGGATCCCAATGCGAGTAGCGCATTCATCGACACAACTGAATATTTCATGAATAAGATTATCCAACAGCAGGAAATTGTGCCACCGTGGATCGAGAAACAACAGCAGCTTGGGTTGGAACTAAATCGATTTCGCGAACGTCTTCGAGCGGACTGGAGACGACATGCTGCGATATTGATTGCGAGCAAAGGTGGTTCCTTGGATGTACAAATGAAGCGGGCAAGAGCCTATGCTGCAGCCGAGGCTCGGTTGGTAGACAAAGCAAAGCTGGAGGCTTCGTTTGAAGAAGATATATCCATCTCGGAGATCAACACTGATGGCCGAATAGTCTCCAAGTCCGAGACATCCCAAGGATTACCTACGATCAAGAATGACAGCGATGAAAATCTGGAAGATCTGGCCCATCTCCCACCATTGCGAGACCCCGAATACCTCGCGATTGAGCGTTCTTATCACGAACTCGCCGTGAAACAAATTAACACTCTCGCACGCACATACAACCTCCAAGCTCCAGCCTCTGCCCACAAACCATACATTAATCTTGATCGAGAGCTCAAGGCATGCTATGCCGCAGTAGCACCTGAACTAGCAGAGGAAATCAAGCGTCGAGCGACAGAGCGTGCGCGTCCGTCATCAATCGTCCCGCCGGCTTCTTCCAGCAAATTTGGGTCACTGGGCATGGGCCAGACTGTACACATTCACGAAGAAGATCAGGCGAAGGGATACGGTATGAAAGAGCTGTGGCGCGATTTATTCACTAAATCTTGAGAACAGCGAACGACAAAACAGAGAACTCTCCCCCTTCCTTTTGTTCATCCTGTATAGATAACAATACAACAGTAATGTGACGTAAAACATGACGAGCAACAGTACTCGAAATAAAGCAGACAAAGATGACCTTTCAACTCCACCTGCCGGCCATTCGAGTGCCTCCCTCAAAACGGGGCGTTGCCCGCACAAAAGTGGATGGAAATCTTCAGCTCTTTCACGAAGGACCACTCTTCACAAGACGTGGCTTTTTCGTCCGCAACAGCATGTATAAGGGGAGGAGGACGAGGCCTGAGACTATAGCAGTAACACCACCCCCAAGCCCATTCAACAAGATGAATGTGGTAGCATCCAATCTCCTTGTGCCAGCAGCGAGAGCAGGCACACCCAGCACCATGCAGAGAATAGAAAGAGCAAACACCATAAATGATTCGATGAGGCCAATCCAAAGGTTATGCTTTGCCATACGTCTAATCGCAGCCGGATCCGGGTAGAGATGAGAGTCTTCTCGCATCCATTGCCAATTCAAGAAAGCACCGGTGAGGCTGGACATAAAAGAGACGTACATGCTGAACGCGAGGAAAATGAACAGAGCCCCGATGAAATATGCCGCAGTTGACGAGATGCTTGTGTACATGCCTAGGTATCCATGCTTCGGAAGCCAGTCCTGACAAATACCACCAGTTCCATTATTGGGAAGTTCGGCAGTCATGTTGCTCGCTTCGTGTCGCTTTTGCATGGGGATGATAAAATGATGCCACGGGATCTTTGGGAAGTCTCCCACGGGCCAGCCAGCTTGCTCGAGGTCAGAATCGCCAAAGGGTAAACGGGAGATGACTTCGACGTCTCCCACCCAGATCTCGTTGACCGCGTTGCCTTGGTCGTAGAAGTGCTCTGACTTGACGCCGTTCACTGCGGATACTTTGTTGCCCATTAGGCTCTTGAACCAATTGTAGGATGTGAATGTATTATAAAAATTCAATAACTGCCGACAAAACAATGCTGTGGTATAGAGTGAACTGTGATAGACGGTGAGGATAAGTTCACTGGGTATCCTGCCCGATTGAACTGGGCAGGTGATGCTGGAGTCATATCGCACGGAAGGAGCAACAGAGGGAAAGTGCTGTGGGATGTTGATCTTAAGAGATGAGCTTGTAGTCTGCATTTGTGCTCTGGACTTTCAAGGAGTAGACCAGGAAATGTTCTCGTATTCGAAAATACACATCTTTTGCCTAAGACTGAGTGGACGAGATAACCTATTTCGACCAAATGCTCAGCAAAATTGTATTACACTTTTGATCTATATTCTGATAGAATGAATTCCCTTCCATTGAGGATTCTCAAGCTTTCTCTCAGAGATACTCATCACAATCGGTGATCCGAATTGCATTTTTACTATGCACTTGCATATGCATACCTCGGTGGGATGCTACTCGAGGAATACGTTGGAAACACTCCAAATTATCAAGGGCTTTATTTGAGATTGAAGTGGATTTGAGAATATTCCAATGCCTCTACAGCATACAGCGTCAATCGTAAGTTGAATTGTTCTAAATTAAGTCAACAGGACTTTTGGCAGGCAGTTAGGGTTCTTCCCTGTGAGTGGTCGCCGCCAAGTGATGATCGTGCATGAAGGCGCGTATTTGTGACCAACGACAGGCTAAGAAGCAGAATGCCTTGACCTTGCACTGACTTTTCTTCCCTTCATCACATCCTATGGGCTGCCTCTTATACCCCCTCCCCTGCCGCCCTCATCACCTTTGGAACATGTATCACCCCAATTCCCGTGAGATTTGACGTTTCGCAATGTCGATCAGTGACTACACCTACTTTTAAAAATCCATTCCCCCTTCCTTCGTCTTTTATAATGCAGGCACCGGAAATGACTACCCGGGTTGTCTCTTTTTTGCCTGTCCTTTTTACTCTGATTGTACATAGTGTCCCGGTTCAGGCCCAGGACATCCAACGTCGATCCAAATCGGCTGCGCCTCCAACAGTGGACAAACCACTGCTAGCAATTCAAATTGGAAGCATTGTGGGCGCCTATGTTATCTTTGTCGCTGTCCTCCTAGCCCTACTTATCTTTGTCGGACGTCGTCTGCGCCGGACAGTTCAGTCGTCCAACTATACACTGCATATGGAAATTCTGAAGCCTGTTAGACCTCCCGTCAGCATGGATCCCAGCCCAGTTTCTCCAATGTCACACAACCTCCCCAGCCCCAAGTCAGGTGGATTCAAGTCCTGGGGGTCATTGAACAGGAGTGCCAGACCCTCCCAGCCATCCATGAACGGCAGCATGGTGACCATCGACGAGTCCATTGTCGCGAACGACCGACAACGAGCTCAGAATGATATGGAGATGCTGTACGCGGCAGTCATGGAGCATGACGCTCAAAAGGCTTCCGGAGTCGATCTGCCCGTTCGTGAACAAGACCTCCAAGCACAATCACCGGACAGTCAACTCACAAATCCATTCACTGACCGTGGCTCCCACGTGTCGGATAGTTCATTGGCCCCATTAGCGCCATTGAAGTCCCCGACCAAGGGATTCAACAGTTCCCGCCTATCTAAGCTCTTCACCACAGGCTCCCGCGCCAATCCAGACCCAAGCAAAGTGCGCTCGCCACGTCTGGCTATTGGCAAGATGTCAATCTCCTCTCCACTAGCCTCTCCAGCCGTGGTCACGCCTCGAGCCTTTATACCCGAAGACCCGCCTCTTTCCCCGCGGATTTACAACCCGGGCCCTCCTCCAATGGCTCCGGTGCCGCGGCGACAGACGAGCGAGACGCTCTTGCCCCCTCCTGGGCGCGCCCGCCCACCAGCGCCTCTAACCCTCAATACGCCTTCTCCTTCTTCGTCCGTCCCGTCCAATTTACCTTTCCGTGAGGCATACCCGCCGCAAAGTGCCCCGGCTACCAAGACCACTATCTTGGAACGACCGGTGAAGAACCGGTTGGCGCCTATGACGGGGATGGCTACACCGTACAGTCCGTACATGCCGTTTACTCCTGTGACGCCGTTTACCCCCGGGCGCACAGTGACAAAGCGACAACGGAAGCGAGAGGAACGTGGGAATGGACTTCAAGTACTGAATGAAGATGATTTAGTCAAGGATGATGATGATATCTGGGGATGATAATGCTGGGAAACGGGTCAAATTAGGGAAATAAGGCGTCTAAGTGCAATTGGTCTATCCATATATCTACAGGGAAATGTTCACACATACATACACTGGCTGTATAGTTTCTATTTTATGATATCCTCATTCTCTATATCTACATCTTCTCCTTCAAATGCGTATTTCCTCTAATGATCGCCTCGGCGAAATCCGACCTCGTTCCCGCCTTCTCAAGACTCAAAAGCGTCTGAATAGTACATCCCCTCGGCGAAGAGATACTTTCTCTAACAACAGCCGGATGTTGCCCGGACTCCAAAACAGCAGACAAACCCCGAATCCCCTGCAAAACCAACTCCATCGCATCCCCCCGCTTGAACCCCTCCGCAACACACCCGTCCAATAGTCCCTCAATCGGGAGCGTCAATGTCGCCATCGTCGCTCCGACAAGAACAGTCGCTAACCCAATCTGCTCAGGCCCTAGGTACTTGACCGCACCGACATGCTTGAAGATCCACTCCGTGGCCGCAACCATGGATTGCGGAATTGTCGATGCGGGAGTCTCGATAATTGTCATCGACTGCCCGAACTGCGCACCCATATTCGGGATAGCTTTCATGAGGTGCGGGGGATTTGCAGCGTTGGGGTCTGGGTTGATGAGCAGGGCTAGGGCCGGACACGTTGGGCCTGCTAGCATGCTAATAACGAGTTTGCCGGCTAGGGCGTCGCGGACGCCTTCTTCGCCCAGAACAGCTTCGGCCATGAAGGGCTTGCAACCGAGAATTATTATATCGGCTTCTTGCATTGTCTGCACGTTCTGGTCTGAGACAATTTTGATCAAATCTTGGTGTTCTGGGGCGATTGACGCTTGTAGACGGGCTGCCGAGCTGGCTGTTTTTGTGCACGCAATGAAGCGGTTGATTGGCTTTGATGAGGTTTCGGTGTTTTTAGTTGAGAATGCGCTGTTTAAGAGGCCGTTTAGAACGGCGCCTCCCATGTTACCTGGGTGGTTTGTTAGTGGTGGTTTACTATGGATGGTTATGTTACTTACCGCATCCGATGAATCCGAGGGTCTGTCCTGAAGCCATCATGTTATTCTATAGGTATTGTGAATTTTTGAGGGTCAATTGTGTTCTGAGTTGAGGGGTTGGCTCTCTCCTTGACTCATATGGATCTCGGGTGAGGTGCCCGACGTTGGCGTTCGGTAGCCGATGCCGATATTTATTTTGGCATATTTGACCAGTTGGAGATAATTACGGTCAACGTTTATCTTTTTCTGCAGCTGTATTTGGGATGATATGCCAATCGCTCATATTCTTTGATTGTCGTAATGTCATTATTTTGACCTTCGACCGCATGTCGTGTCTTCGTCTAGCAGTCCCCAAAGCCGGTGATATGATATAGATGAAGAAATATAACTGAAGGCCACTTTGTACTCACGCAGTTCTCTTGAATATGTCTTCAAAGAGTGGTGGTTCAGCTAACACGAACATCTCAGCAGGTTAGATCTGATTGTTACCTCAGGCACTCAAGGCGCCACTCCGCCTTACAAGTGGCGTATACATACAAATTTCCGCATTGGGCTTGGCTTTGCATCCCGAATGCAGCAGGGATGCCTATCTTTAATCTTCTACACTTTTTCTTTGATTCTATACAACAAAGACCTTCTCCCCTTTCTATGTCTGTCAAGCTCTGCGCTTGTACCTTGGATTATTGAATTACTGCTGTTTTATCTTTGCTGATCCCTCCCCGCTATTCCCCCACCATAATCGCAGTTGTCGTCATCCTCGGAGAAGGTGACTTGGCTGTGTCCGACGCCGACTGATTTCGCCCGAGTCCCCCATTTTTTGTACTCCATTAGGCCTTGGCGGCGAATAACTTGTGTGCATAATAATAGGTAAGTTGTTTCACTGTTATCTTGGCAGAGGCGTGGTGGACTATCTTGGCTAACTGGAACTTCTTCGCATATCTTAGACTTTCTCTCCCCTCTATCCCTCTACTCGATTACACCTCTCTCCTTTTCGTCTTTCCTATCACGCCTTAATGCCGCTCACCGTCCTCTCCCGATCCCAGCTCCGCGAGCTGCTGCATGCGCTCTCTCGCGACGAGATTCAAAACCTACAGCGCAATCTCGCCGAGGCTCTACGAGAATATTCCAGTGGATCTCAGGAGAAGGGTTGCTCGGCAGCCTACCAACCCCAACGAACTGCCATCACTCGCCAGAATGGCTGCACTACACTCTTCATGCCCGCCAGCACGGGCCAAACAATTGGCATCAAGATGATTTCCCTGCAGGACGGGGCCGATGCCGGTTGTGCTATTGAGCGGGACACACTTGATACCCAAGAGAAGGAACAGATTGCCTCGCGTAGGGGAGGCTCGTTCCGAAATTCGGTGGCTTCCTTATCCTCCGAGTTGAGTGATTTGTCCGTTGGATCCCAAGACGACAAGGAGGACAAGGAGGACAAGGAAGATAGTAACTCGATCAGCGCTACCACCACCACCAATGAGAGCACTACGACAGGATCAAGCACGGATAGTTCCACTCTCCTCACTGGTTGTGTCAATCAACAAAATGTCACCTCCAACATCTCTAAAACTCTTGGCGCTTGGCCGGGCGCAGGAACTCGTGACACATCGCCCCGCGGCAGTGTGACATTGCTAGATGGCGAAAGTCTGCCATTCGCCTTGATCAATGCCCATGAGCTAACAGCGTTCCGCACGGCCTTGGCTTCACTGATGATGTTCAACAGGCGCAAGAAGGTACGCACTATCCTCGTATTCGGAGCGGGCACCCAGGCCTACTGGCATATCCGCTTGGCGTTGGTTCTCCGCGGTGAGGACATCCGCCGAGTATACATTGTGAACCGCTCTTTTGAACGCGCAGCCAAACTTCTGCAGGAAATTTACCAGCCCGAAAACAGAGAGTGGCGCGGGGATGTCATGTTCTCCGCCATCAGCACCGATTTCGGTGAGTATGGTCGAATTTTGAAAAGCACCGTACGCAAGGCCGACGCGATCTTCTGCTGTACACCCTCTCCCGAGCCACTTTTCCCTGCGGAATACCTCACTTCCGGCGAAGGCCGTCAAAAGGGTCGGCTCATCTGTGCGATCGGATCATACAAGGCACACATGGCCGAGATCCACCCGGATATTCTCCGAGATGAGGTCAACGTGCAACCTGCTCATCGTCACTGGCACAAGCATGTCCACCGTAGTGGTGTGATTGTAGTGGATAGTCTCGACGCGGCCATGAAAGAGGCTGGTGAGATTATTCAAGCTGGAATTAAACCCAAACAGGTTGTTGAGCTGGGCGAACTACTGATGGTACGTGATGCCACTCGTGATGCGGCGACTGTGGATGATGAAAAGAGTCTCCGTGAATGGTCTCAACGAGGGAATGTCATCTACAAATCAGTTGGCCTTGGACTGATGGATCTCGTGACCGGCGGAGATTTGGTGCGCTTGGCACGGGAGCGGAAGTTGGGGACGACAGTGGACGACTTTTGATTTTTGACTTGATTCGATACCTTTGCTTGCTTATTTTCTTTCGTTTGCCATTGGTTGATCCTGAAGACATCCAGGGAAAATTTGGAAGATCAACAGATCTCCCGAGCCACAATATCTTTAAATTAAGAGAAACTTGAAACACTTGAAACATGAATTATCATCAAATAATGTATGACCTTGAGCCGGGTATTTAATAGCATTTTCAAGCTATAAACGAGAAAAAAAAAGAAACATTGACATATACAATCATACATATTGCTAAAAACAAGTTGAAGAACAAGGCAAAGCTTATAGTGGGCTGATGGACTGCGTCACCGGTCACAGTCATGTAACCTCTCGGACAAACTTCCCTTCTCTTTTTTCTTCTCGAGCTTCACATTACCAATCCACCTATTCGTATTGGGCCTTGATTTTCGCTATCGTTGGTGCACGATTCCCTCACCCCCGCGCAGTGAGGGGCCAAAGCAAGGATAAAAAAAAGTCTTTAAGAATCTTGAGATTACTCCTCAGGATACCTTCAAAATATCCTCGCCATGCGAAACACCGCCTGTCACTTGCCCAATGGCCTCACCTTTGACGTTTCGCCTGTTTTTGGTGGGGTCACCTTCAAATCCAATGACTTCAACATACATCACAAGTCCACCTTCCCCCAGGTTGGACAATCATAATCAACACCGAGAGGAATCGCAAGACGGACAAAGATGATGCAAACCCAGAGAATCCCCGCGACTTGGACGATAATTTTGGCCGTTTCACAACCCCCACCTTGACCCGCGACTCCCTCTACATCTCGTATATAGTCAACCCACCAACAACCGACTTCAAGTCCGTGATCTCACCCACACGCCAGATCGCCATGATGCTCTGGGCAACACTATGGTGGTACTTCCACGAGCCAGAGCCAGACCTGCACGTGGAGACTGCCGCCTCAACCAAGACCCCGCCCAACGGACGACCAAAGGGCGAATGGCGGATCAAGGTCAAGCGGGAAGGAATCTTCAAAGGCCGGAACCTCCTCCAAAAGCTCGAGAGAATGGGCCTGATCGCGACCGAAGACTCTTCCGTCGGCCTCCAGCCCATCGAAACCCGCGACTCAAGCAGCTGGTCAACGATGTTCGTAAGCAGACGCAGTTTCTGGCAGCTCGACCCACGTCTTTTCCTCTTCACATTGACGCCAACCGGAACTCCAGCCACACCTCCCGTCAGGTCGCTTAATGGGTCGCCCACGCCCGATGGTAGAACCACCGCAGCACCGCCGACACTATTACCTATGGAAGCAACTTTCCACACGGCGAATATGGGCCAGTTCACCTCCGTAGGACCGTTCACGTCTGGCAGCCATCTCCCAACATACTACCCGCCCCCACCAATGCAGTTCACCTCCACGAACGGAATCCGACACCCCGTGCGTCCGAAACCGCCGCATCAGGGCGAGGTGTTCTATGTGCGATACATCCCCAGTATGAGCCAGTATCTCTCGTTCCGCGTGGCGTTTGTGCCGATGACGTCGCAGGGAAGCGTTGCTGGTGGTCAGAGCGGAACGCCTGTTAGCACATCTGTGACGAGCATCGCGCAGCATCTGACTGACAACATCTCCTCTGATCTGGACACACTGCATCGGTGGATGAATGTGCCGCGGGTTGAGGCGATGTGGGCTGAAGGCGGACCGAAAGCTGTGCAGGAGAAGTTCCTGTTGGCTACTCTGACTAGTCGACACAGCTTCCCTGTTATTGGATGTTGGGACGGGAAGCCGTTTGGGTATTTCGAGATCTACTGGGTCAAGGAAGATCCGCTCGGACGACTTGTGGATCATGCGGGTAATTATGATCGTGGTATTCATTTGCTGGTTGGAGAACAGGAGTTCCGCGGCGCGCATCGGGTTGCAATCTGGTTGAGTGCGTTGGTGCACCACTGCTTCCTAGCGGATATGCGGACTGAATCTGTGGTGTTGGAACCGCGGGTTGATAACCTCAAGTGAGTTTTTGACATTACAATCAGAAAAGGATGATGAACGTGCTAACTTCTCTTAGACTCATTAATTACCTCCAAGAAGCAGGCTTCTATAAGGAAGGCGAGGTCAGCTTCCCGCATAAGCACTCTGCCATTATGAGGATCAAGCGCGAGCACTGGGAAAGCCCAGCGATATAGAGATGTCAGAGTGGCGATTTGCATTGAGACGATCATGAGTAACGAAACAGCTAGCATTGCCTGGATTTTGACTTTTGTCTGGTGATTTGACTTGATTTCAACATTGTCTTGCTCATTTATCATGGGTGGTTTAGTTCAATAGAATGGCGGGTCTGGTTATTGCTTATTGAATTGCATGACTTCCGTTTCACCGATCTTCTATTTCCACGTAGGCTTCCCGGCCTGAGGTCGCTATGGGTCTTAGCAAAGATGCTACTTTTACCCTACACAAAACTCTTAACGAAACCGTTCATCTCCGCACGTCTTGCGAGCTCAATGGAGATACCTTCCAGCGGAGGCTGCCAAGAAAGCATACATTTAATTTGGTGAAGGTAGTTTGAGCATGGTTGCCGAATGTTAAGACACATCTTATTTGGAGAAAACAGGTTACGTACGTGTCTGCAAATATTCTGGCTTGCCTTGGCTATTCCAACCATTTTTGCAGGCCTGAAAAGGTGGTAGTATGGCTATCTAGGAAGACAGAAAGGATACAATTCCTCAAGGATGATCGTGGAGGGTGAATGACGAGATGTGATTTATTCAAAGCTATTTTCTTCTTTTTACAGGAGGGAAAAAGGTGAAATTAGACGAGGTACGAGTTCGTTTCTCAATTTGGGCGACCACGTCGGACTTGATAGTCTCAGTAACTTCCATTCAATCATCTCACATTACACATCACGACGTCGACCCCTTCTCTCTGGCAGGTGATGAGCCCAGCACACGTACTTTCCTGTTTAAATCATATTTGGTATAGAAGGGACAATTGCACGCTTGACACGTTTTTCGCCGCACATGGTCACCTATAAGGTGACATAGGGAAATCTATAGGTATATATCTCTTAGATATATAAGAGATATTTGAGAGATTTTCAAAGAAGGTTGAAAGATGTTTCTAAACTGAGGTTTCAGACATGTCGAAATCACATACGAAAACTTTGAATATATGGTGATATAGCTCTTAGGTCTTTGTGTAAAGAGTGAAAATTCACGATACTAACCAGCCTAGTTCCGGTTAGGAACTATTTTTTCCAGATATCGAATCTGCCAACATCTTTATTGGGGCTGTGAGTTTAATTCTTAGACACACTACCGAAGCACCTATGATGTCTCTTTTGCATTCAACAACGATCTCTGCTACTTCCTTCCCAATTACGATGGGCCACAAAAACAACTATGGTGATGGAATACTCAAGAAACACTATCCGCTTTTACGCAAATCTGAGCCCCGAAGCCGCGCTCAAGACATGAAGAATCTGGGAAGATACTCACACACTGAATTTTCATGTAGGAACCTCACGTACATTCGTGAGAATCCCGAGAACGCTAAATGCTGGAACCCAGATTCTGACTCAATATTAAGCATGATCTTTAGCTAGAGAGAGGTATACCAGAGAGAAGGGTTGTTGTGCAATGAGTGCCATAAGGTCTTTCTTAGGTTGAGGATCAAATTGACAAATAAAATGTGTATCCTTACGGTGACTCATTTTGGTGGCTGGGAGGATGAAGAATTGGGAAAGAGGCTCACGCTCGGATTGAGGCTGAAGATCAGATTATTGATTAGGGCAAGGGACCTTGGAAGGGGTATGCAATATAGGACCGCGCAAGGGGATGTCTACAAGACAATATCGACAGTATACAGTATTTGGAATCATATACCCCCGTCCGTACTCGTGGGAAAGAGGGAGGCTCCACTTTGCTTAATTGCGTAATCTTTCATACCGTCCAACTTTGACTAACTCGGTTCTTGACAACGTCAACATGGCTTCAAGTCAATACGTGCTGTACGATATCCCTTCCGGCAAGGCACCATCTGTGACATGGTCGCCGAATCCATGGAAAAGTCAGTACAGCCATGATATTCATTGGCTTTATACATTTCAAGAAACACAAATACTGACCTCCTTAGCTCGCCTCCTTTTTAATTTCAAAGGTCTTGATTATCGGACGCAATGGGTGAGTCACATCCAACAAGAACCTTGAGAGACAATCGCTTACAATCACAGGTTGAATACCCAGATATCAAGTCTACGTTGGAACCTCAGTATGACTCAATTCCCAAGTATAGGAGACCATCTAATGTTCCCAGTGTCGCACCCAATCCCGGGAACCCCGCATACTCCATCCCTACCATTGCCTGTCCCGATGGAACATACATTATGGATTCGCGCAAGATTGCGGATTCCATAGAACGCCAAGTCCCGCTTCCTTCGCTCCACCTAGACTCCGTCTATCTCGAGAAGATCGAGCGTGTCTGGGTTCAGTACATGACCGCCTTTGCGCCGATATTCATTCCTCTGGTCCCCAAGCGGATTCTCAATGAGGAAAGTCTTGAGTACTGGTACACCACTCGTGAAGCAATGGTTGGGATGTCACTTGATCAATTCGAGAAAGAGAAAGGTGGTGTTCGGGCATGGAAGGAGGTGGAACCTGTCCTTCGGGAAGTGACTGCCTTGTTGAAGGAGAATGAGGGGCCTTTCTTCATGGGAAAGACGGTTAGCTATGCTGACCTTGTATGGTTTAGCATTCTTCTCTTCAACCAGAAGTTAGGGTCGGATGTCTTCCAGGAAGCAATGGAAAGGACTGGGGATTCGAAGGTGCATCTCGACTTGATGAAGGCTGCTCAGCCTTGGTGTGGTTGAAGTTCACTTGAGGACTACAAAAGTGATATGATAGGAACGGGTTGCCCCCGGTAGATGCCATAGGATGTACTGTATTTACGAATCATACCATGTGAGACAGTCGAACTGGGTCAGTCTGATGGACATTCCAGAGATTGTCAGCAAAACAAGTCTGTATAGTTCTATGTAATATTACGGTATCATAACAATGAGTCATGATCTGCCAGAACCTTGGAACAAGGAGTGGAACCAGATAGCGCATGTGGGAACTTCCACTCTAACCAAGAGTATGTATACAAGTATACCATATACAATACATACCGTATTACTGCCTTCACATCACTTGACATTACAAGGTACCCAAGGTCCAAAAAAAAGAGTTTCATTGTCCAAGTAGGAGGTAAGTACATCAAAAGTCCAACGTACATCGAGCGCGAGCGCATAACGTCTAAGCGTAAAGATTCTTGGATAACATCCAGTGAAAAACGAGTGAAATGCAGACCATGATAAAAATATCAGACATACAAACGCCGAATGCGCAAGGCAGATGCAGCAGCGAGTGTAAGAAAAACAAGGACGAAAAGGAAAACAGAGAGGCTCACAGCTCTCGCGGAATCAAGCTCGGACATGGATGACGTGTTTGAACATCAAATGACAGTGAGCGAGATGGGTATTGGCACATGTGCGTATCAACGTGTTGAACAGCTTTTTTCAAAAGCAGGAATATGGAAATGGAAAAAGGAAATAAAGATCATATAGGGATGTGGTGAGATAGGAGACAGATAGGAAATAGGAAATGGGAGGAGATGCGTGAACGGCATCAGTGATTAAGTAAGAGACCAGAGTGCTAATGAAAATCGAGGAAAAAGAAATCGAGAACCAGCTCGATTTAGTTGGATCGACGACTGCCCATGTACGAGCCTGTCGCGGAGGCCAGGAAACGAGCCACGAAACCGCCGCTGTGTGCGTTGTTGCTGGTCTTCAGCTTCTTGGATGGCTGGCGGATAGGCTCGAAGGACTTCTTGGATTCGAGGTGGGCGACATTGACATAGCCGTAGTTCATAGAGAGGGATGACGGGCTGCGGGTTGAGTCCGTGAGCAGGAGGTCATCGGCGCCTTGGGAGGAGACGGTGCTGATGGAGGCTGGTGTGCCGCTTGAGCTGGGGGCGGCACTGGACGAGCGCGAGCAGAGAGAGTTGGAGGTCTCGGCGTGGGAGAGCGCTGGTACGTCCCGAACGGATGGTGGGGAGATTGAGCGGTTGGCTCTGTTGGGAGATGCGCGCTGGCGCTGGTAGGGGTTGTAGCGATCATGGTCGACTACATTCTGGGTGGCATAGTGGGTGTTGTGCATCGTTGGACAGGAGACGTGACTGGGCAGACGGCGGAGAGAGTTGTCATTTGTGCGACGGGCCTCGCCGCGAGCTTCAAGCTTTTGGCGGCGGAGACGGCTGGCTAGCAGATCCGCTGATACGTGAAGACGGCGCCTGGGGGGTGGGTTAGTTTCTCAGAATAACAAGTTATAAAATGGGATGCCATACCATTCGCGATGTTGTTGTTGCTTGTGACGGTGTTCTTCTTCGGCGAGACGTTCTTGCTCTTGGGCAAGGAGACGCTGACGGTGGGGAACGAGAAATGGTTCGAGGTAGGTAAAAAGGTCCTGCTCGGTGATGCGTAGGTCCCAGTCGAGGAGGAAGAGAAGCTGACGTTCCATGAGGTTGACCTCGGGGGAGAGAGAAGCCGAAATCTTCGAATCCCTTCACTGCGGTGTAACGAGCCCAATGTTTATTCTTAGGGCTGGAGTCATTCAAGTTCTTGGCGGCGAGGATGAGTGAGGCAAGGAAGATGCGGTGGACGGTGCAGCGCATACCCTTCGCGACTGGTGGCAGACGGGAACGAAGACGGCCGAGGTAGACGAGACAGCTCATGAGAGTGGGCACCTGCACCTGCGACCGGGCGACGAGTGAGGCGATGAAGGCCTCGATTGAGGGAAGGGCAGGCAAGTTGGATGGTTCCATTGGAGGGGTGGATGGTGGTGTAGGTTGTCCATTCTGGTTGACGGTGTTGGTCACATGGGCCTCACAGCGGATAACCTGCGCTGCCTGTTGGGCCAAGTGTGCTATCATTTCCCGGGTAACTCTCGTAGTGACGAACTCATCGAGAGCTGCTCGGTTGAGTGAATAGGAATCCATATTGTGGGAGGGGGATGTGGTAGAGGGTGTCGAAAGGGAAGTGGTCGAGGATGATAATTAAGTAGGTCGACAAACAGGCAGAGATAAAAGGATTTCAAGGCACAAGTGAATTGTCTCGGACAATTCAATCGAATAGACAAAAGCAGGACAAAGGTCTTTGTGGGTATATATGAGTCGACACCAAGTGAAGCAAATGCGATCCAAGGTCAAACAAAAGTGTCCGGAGATTGAATTCCTGACCAGCAGGATAACTTTCAGATGAAGTAGTTTCTTTTGTAAAAAAGAATGTTGCAAGTAAGGATGAGATAGTTCGGGTTGTCGTGTCAACGCGTATCGATAGCCCTAACTGAGGCTTTCCGAGAAACTGAGACCTGGCGCAACGGATATTTATTCGAGACACAATCCACAGTTCAATGCAAGTAAGCAATAGATTGGAAATGATGTCTGGCAGATTATTATAAAGGCGAATGATCACAATAAAAAGGATATTATAAAGGAAGGATGACGACGTTGAGCATGTGGATGAATCTCGTGAAGAATCTGGGCGGAATACCTCTCTAGTTATAGTATCTGGTATGCGCCAGAGCGGAGGGGGGGAACGACTTTTCTTCCCCTGCAAGGACGTATCCAGTAAGAAGAGAGAAAAAATAGACCAAGTACAGGGGGTAGAACGGACTGAACCTGCATAGTTGGATCTAGGATACTCCAACCTTCGCGCGGAGGTCTGAGAAAGGAAAGCTGATTTGTGGAGTGTGATGTACACTTGATAGACTATTATTGTACCTGTGCGTTATTATCCCTAGATTCATCCAATAGAGGGTTGAAGAGGGTTTTGGTCTTTTTTTACTGTTGGTTTTTTTTTTTATTGTTTTCATATTCACTTGTTGAACTGGAACATGATTTGATTCACTTTACTATACTAGATTTACTGAATTTTCGGTGATATTGGACTCTAGGGATATCGCAACATCCTACAAGGATCGCCAACATTATCTATGAAACTCACGTCTCAACTCTACGCGCTCATTCCATTCCTTGAACGCGTACCATAGCATCTCTCTAGCCTCCTGATGTTACTCTACTGCCTAATTTTACAACTAATAGCCAACAGCCAACAGCCAACATCCAACATCCAACATCAAATATCCGACGTTCAACAATCCAACAAGTCAATCATCACCAAAAACAGACCTCAGCTGAGAAAAAAAAAGGTGGCGATTTCAGGTTGGCGCCGCGAACTCGCGTTAGTGCCCAATCACTCGAAACCTGTCAGTTTCCGATCTGATCACCGTGGGGCGCGTCCAATCCCTGTCAACCGGTCCCTTTTACAGCTTGACAGTCCCTTTTAATTGATGTTCATTCTCATTGGATCCCAATCCAACACCCCCTGTCACAGCGCGACCTTAGCGTGTTCGAGGGACATGCCCGATGACCTCGCTGTCGAAGTCCGTAGGGGAAAACAAAGTATCTAAATTATCCGATATCTATCCACCTCACATAAGGGAGGTCATATTATCGCATTATTCCCGTCCCTTTGTTCCTGTTCTTGATCTATCGATTTCCAACCCCAACCACCTGGATTTCACCTGGATTTCATTTGCCCATGTATCCGAGGCCGTGGGATGCATGCAATTTTCCGTGCATACCATTTAGCGTACCCCTAAAAAAAGACCAAACACACTGCATATGCATCTATATAAGCGCCGGTCCCTCCAGGTGTTTGAACATCCCGCTTTCCCGCCCAGCGCTTACAATCCCAACATTGTGGAAGCGCTGCGACGTTGAACGTTTCTAATTTTATGATCCAGGCAGGTTGGTTATTATTAGTTTCTCGACGCGCGCTACTCCTGCTTTTACACTTCCCCGGACCCCCCTCTGCGGGTTTCATTGTGCGGGTCGTCACCCGCCCTTCCGCCTGAGCCGAATCACCGCGCGGTATGGAATGTTGGTAGTGTGAGACTGCGCCTCGTTTCACCGGCGTCTCGCTATCGGAGTGTTGGAACTGTTGGTTGGGAGGGGTTGATTTGGGGTACATCCTTTGATCACGTTGGGTTGGTGATTCCAACTGTGCACCAGGCTGCATCGTTGTTGATGGGCTGTTGCGATTCTTAGGACTCAGGAGCTAGGCGCTTGGGATGGGGCGGTTTCGAAAGTGTAGGGCTGGCTGTTTCAGGGTTGGTCTGGCGGTTAGAGATGTTGGTGATGCGGTTTTGCATGGCTAATACGTGTTCTTGGGGCTGAAACACCAACAATGCGACCGTACGAAGTAGGAGTACATATGTAGTGGCTTGACAATGCAGGTCTATATCACGATAATGATAGCTCTATTAATGGAACAACTACCGATTATCGCTGATTTGAGTGGTTTGTGAAGGGTTGGATTCTAGTTTCCATTTCTCACGAATATTCCATCTCCCCATCCAAATTCCAATCGCTGAAATCACCTGACTGTCTATTTAAACAACAGAAACAGAGTAGGAAGACACAGTCATATCAGCCTTGCCAGTGAAAGGCTCAGTGCCAGCCTGGACAGCAATCAAGTACAAGCTGTCCTTCAGAGCCTGGTCCTTCTCAAGGTATGTGAAGAAGTCCAACAGGTCACCAGAGTAGCTAGTAATGAGAGTCTTACTAACAAAGCTGTACACGGTCATGGCACCATTAGGACCGACGTACACATCCCACTCATGGCCACTAATAGTGACAGTGGCGATGGGCTGGCCGGTGGACGAGATGGCGCCCGCACCACCCATCGCCGCAAGCCAGACCATGATCTCGTACTCCTCGCTGCCGTCAGGAGTAGAGCTGAGGAACATATCGTATGCAACATCGGCGACGACATCGGTGTTGGAATAGCTATCTCATGGTTAGTGAGACTGTTCATTCTGAAGTGATCGAGTGCACCACGTGCACCACTCAAAGCCTACCTCCATTCCCAAGCAGACTTGATGCTGCTAACTTCACTCAGAGTCTTAGGAGTGAACTGCAACTTGGCATTGGCGTAGCTCTTGACCTGCCACGCGGTACCAGCCCACGACCAAGAGGTGTGCCATGCGATCTTGTTGCCGTCGACCGAGTCTAGCCCTGTGCACTGTGTGCCGGATGGGTCATCGTCCTGGCCCCAGAGGTTGTTGTAGAGGATGTAGTCATCTGTTGTGGCAGTTCCCCACTGGTCGCAGAAGTCTGCACGACGTACGAGGCCCTTGGTTGGGACGGAGGCGGCATCGCCCATGGTGGACAGTGCCAGGGAGAGGAGTGCGGGTGCGACGAAGGACTTCATGATGACTATTAGAACAGGTGGAATGGACGAGAGCGCTGGGATGGAAATGAGAGTCTGGCGATATGGAATGGGAGTTGTCGGCCTGTTTTATACATGCCATGTTCTCTCGGAAGTCATCCGTTTAGGGAATACTCGAACCAAGTGGGTTCATGTTCCGTATAGAGCACGGAGTAGTCCTGTCTCACATTTCAGATTAGGACGTGCTATTGTTTATCCATCAGCTCATGGCTGGAGGTTCCACAACCGGGTAATCCCATGCTTGCGCGGTGCCACTGGTTCTACCGGGCAGCCGGCATTGAGGGTAGCCGCAGCCACAAGTGGACCTCTTTGGGCATTGTGGGAGGAATTTTTCCACGACTGGAAGCTTATTCTGCACGGCGTTAACCGTTTTCCTGCGGATTCGGGAAGATCTCCGGGCGTTGGTAGCAAATGTGAGACGACGGCGTCGCATAGCGGGGCGGATGAGAGCTGCTTCTAGAACGCGGTCAAATCGGAGATTGAAGGTATCCGCTTTGTTCAAGATTCCCCTGAATAACCTGACAGTTTGGAGTATCTGCGAAGTTTCACCGAGAGGAACATGTGTTTTTCTGTGTTGTCTAGGATAGGGGCCAGTATACGCATTTGCGCAATGTCAAAATTATAGAGATTGAAGGGCGAGTTGCAAAACAGCCACATCGTCACCTCCGGTTCTTCAGGCATATGTACCCCGCAAATGCAACTCACGACTCTGCGGATAATAGGAGAATACATGTCAACTCCAACATTGGCTGGATATTAGTTCCAAGCCGGATATTGCGGAATGCCGACCGTTCTCCAATGGGCGATGATCGACATCTTGACCTTGAAATTAACGTGACAATGCAGAAGCCAAATAGCTTTGTTGCCATCATGTGATGGTAGATGGCTTTGATATCTGGCATGGATGCATCGCAATCGTCATCACACCCTGGGATTCTCACTGGATTTTGTATTTAGCCTGTATTGGGCCTGCTAGGTCCGAAGCCATATGGATACATATTGACCATGGCGGATTGCTCCCGGCAGAAGTGAGAGCCCCGACAAGCATTATCCCATATTTAGCCGCAGAGCCCGGAGCCCGGAGCCCGGAGCTAAGGACGTTATGGGCCTACTAAAGGAACAGGCCAACTCCCACTGAGAACCGTGACAGCAGGAATCTTTGAGGGATAGAATGACCCAAGAAGGAAAGGGACAGGAACCAGCGTTGGTGAAGCAAGTGACTTGATTTTGGAATCAAAGTGGGGGAAGATGAAGCATGAGATGGGGTTGAAGAATGGCAAATAAAATATAAGAGAGAAGAACTAATCAAGCAGACCCTGGAGTAGACAAACAGAGAAGTCTCGGGCAACCATGTCAACAATGAGGTACATTGAAAGAAGGAACTGTCTTCGGAGATGCGGGGATAACAGAGAGGTGTTTCTGTGGTAAAAGCAAAAAAATGGCTTAAAAAGCACGGTTTCCAGCTTCTGACATTCGATGGAGAACCCAAGAAAGTACAGTCTGTTTTCATAGCGGTCGTAGCAGCACTGCCCGCAGGTTTACACAACCATGATATGCTTTGTGCCATTAGACGGGGAGACCATAATCCAGTTCAGCCTAACCTGGACCGCGTCAAAGATCCATCGATGCCCTTGGGATACCCCTTGGACAATAGGACCACGATGCGCAATGTAGGCCCAGAGTGGGAATGGGAAAGGAGAGAAGGAAGAGAAGGAAACTGGGAGGCGGCAGGTATTTATATTTTGCCAGTGGCTGAAGGGAACGCTCACCATACAAATGATATCGCTGGTAGCTTCGACATTAATACATCCACGGATATACCAGTGAACTCGACTTGAGATTAGGTACCTTCCTACCATAGACATATGGTCTATGTCAAGGTTAGAGATCTAGCCTTTGTCTTAGCAACTGGGTCACACTAAGAAAAAAAAAAGACTAGTCATGTGTCCTAGCACCGACAGCTCATCACGCGCAAGTCCACCGAGTCCAAAGCTTAAGCACCTGAACAATGTCGAGCGTTTACCCAATCCGTTCTCAGGAACCGACTTCCACCCTCGCAGGATCGACAACCACGATCGCACTCATCACACTACACAAAGCTCGCTATCAGCGAAAAAAGCGAACTCTGCAATTCTACCCAAGGGACACGCTGTCCGGATAGATGAATCTTGATCTTCTGTCAGAATATCATGCCAGATAAACAGCGATATACTCGATGAATACCTAGCTGGCTTCGACTCCGACGTCATGCTTATATATGTATCTGGGCTGCTTATGGAGAGCTGGTCACCATCAAGGCATTCAATTCACTCTAATCTACACTGTGTACCATGTCTTGTTTGTTGCCGAAGAACCGACGCTAGAACGACGCCGAAATGGTCTACGTCCCCGGCATCTTGCTTAAATCGGACCGCAGATTGAACAACTGCGGAGGGGTGGAGCGAGACGACGTGCCAGTGCCCCCAACGGTGGTCGCGACCCAAAATAACGTACCCTTTCTACTCGCTTGCACGGGCGTCTACTTTCTACCGGAGGTCACAATGAAGTGGGTTGCTCAAAGAAACGATCCAACCGGGCGAGACCCGCAAGTTAGGAGAGTGACAGATTTATCGAATGATTACCCTTGGACCTCGGGGAGTATATAGAAAGGCATAAAGTTCGATATATCTTGGCGTCGGATTCCGCGGATTGCGGCTACGGATCACGGCAAATCCGACGTGAGCCGTCATTGGACTGTTGGAACGTTGGACAATGGAGTACAGAGTAGGCAACCTCATTGGCAAAAGGTATCGACAATTGGCCAATGGAAGACATGACAATTCGGATTGCGAGCATCCGACATGGCCTGTTGGGTCAAAGTAAACAGTGCAAACACATACAAACACATCTACACAGTGCAAACCCCATTCAACTCGATAGATTTCAGTATATGGAAGGTGCATATATTGAAGTATGAAATGAGACACGATTGAGCAAGGTATTTCTCTGTAGTATAATGAATTGAACACAAGCGAGGGTGCTGTGACTATGTTCAATTGTTTCAATTGTTTTGCTTGGCACCGGGTGGAACTCCGGGGTCCAGGGGGTAAAATTAAATTTAAAGACTGGATGGCCTCTTTTTTCCCACTCCAGGACCCTACCACAAGATGCCTTCCAAATCCTCCAAGTCCTCCAGCTCCGGCTGCCGCTGTCGATGCTTCTCCCTGAAGTCTCTCAGCTTCCTCGCCATCTTCCTGGCCCTATTCTCCGCCGTCTACCGATTCCTCGATGCGCGCCTTGAGCAATTCTATATCTTCGACCCGGAGCACCTGCACGATGTCTCCCAGCGCGCCATCAGCGCCCACGGCGAAGACACCCGCTCCATCGTCAACTTCATTGTCGCCGAACTGGAGCAGAAGGTGGGCCCCAACTACCTGAGCACCCAGGAGGAGTGGGTATTCAACAACGCCGGTGGCGCCATGGGCGCCATGTACGTGATCCACGCCAGTATCACCGAGTACCTGATCATCTTTGGTGAGTTTTGCGCCCGCGACCAAGTCTGTTTCATTCAATTGCTTTTTCCTTTCTAACCACATCCAATCTCTCCAGGTACTGCCATCGGAACTGAAGGACACACTGGCCGCCACACCGCCGACGACTACTTCAACATCCTCCAGGGTACCCAGCTCGCCTACGTCCCCGGCGAGTTCAAGCCCGAGGTCTACCCCGCTGGTAGCGTGCACCATCTGGTCCGCGGCGAGGTCAAGCAGTACAAGATGGACGAGTCTTGCTTTGCGCTCGAGTACGCCCGTGGCTGGATTCCTCCCATGCTCTTCTTCGGCTATGCCGATACCTTCTCCAGCACTTTGGATTTCCCGACGCTGTGGGCTACCTCGCGCATCACTGCTCGTGAGATGATTGGCAACTTGATGCAGTTCAAGCTGTAATTGAGCAAACTATCTCGGTTTGTGTTGATATGGAGGCACTGGCTGGATTGATGAGGTCTATGTGGAATGTATGATATGGGCATTTGGATTCGATTCTGTGCGTTGGGCACCTGGCGAGGTGCTGTTTCGGTTGTAAAAGTTACTGGACACGATGGATACATACTTAATCGGTAGTACCGAGCACATTAATGAAATAATCAGCTAGGGTTGTCGAGCGCTGGTTTTGTAACACTCATGGGCCTTTTGGTGTAGTTGTTTCAGCACATGGGATCGTGTTAGCCCAACCAGCTGCTTTTGCCATCAATTACAAACCGTATAAGAAGACATCAAGTCGTTGAAGTATGGAATTCAACACTACTGTTGCCAACAATTATGTTAGGGCTCAAGATATTTGTTTGGTTCTAAATAGCCTATGACCGAATGCATATGCTCATAGAAAAGTAGCCAGTCCCTCGGGATGAAAGGCTTTCCTGTCTGTTCATACCTGCTCGATTCATCAATCCACCATCAATACTAGAAAAGAGATAGGTTCACTCTGGAGGCAAATCCGACTAATGGCATGTGTACCTAGAGAATTTAAAGTCAAGAAGGATCTAGAATTGCCCAAATAGTTAAAGTGTAACCCAGTCATCTTGCTGGCTTCTAGACCTGGGTATGTATGTTCGTCCATGGACAGTAAATCAAATGAATCAAATGAATCAAATGAGTCAGTGAATTGAAATCCTCCAAGTCAATATTTGATAAATCAAAATTCACACTGTGTCGTTGACAGCAAACAAGTTGTACAGGTCTATATAACTTTGCACTTTGTCTATTCCTTTCTTCAACTTTCACCCATCCACTGATATTAGTTTCTCACATTATCTTTTACTGTCATAATTATCTTCTTTCATTCGCTTGGATCCATCACCGTTCACTTGAAGCCCATCATGGCTGGCTATGGTGGATGCCTTTGGATGGATAATCATACTTCCAAACCTCAGTACCTCCCACAGGTCTCACTCAAGGCCCATGCAACCATCCTGTCCTCTGTAGCCCGTACAACTTTGACACAGATATTTGTCAATCCATCTGACAGGGTTATCGAAGAGATACAATATCTCTTCCCTCTTTTCGATGGCGTTAGTGTTGTTGGCTTCGAATGCCAGGTTGGATCTCGTCTCCTGCACAGTAACGTGAAGACCAAGTCACAAACAAATACGGAATACCAAAATGCTGTCGCTCAGCGCCAGACCGCTGCTGTCATGGACCATACATCCATGAATGACATTTTTATCATCCGGCTCGGCAACGTCGCTGCTCGCGGAAAGATCAACGTTGACATTACTTTTGTGGGAGAATTGAAGCAAGACTCTCAGATAGACGGCATTCGCTACACCTTACCGAGTACCATTGCTCCTCGCTATGCGAATAGAAATTTTTCTAGTAGCACTCAGTTATCATCACTTGGTTTGCCAGTCAGCCCGCAAGGGATGTCCATCACTGTTGATGTTCAGATGGAGAAGGGCTTGGTGCTCCGAGAACTGGAATCCCCAAGCCACCGGGTTAAGGTCTCTCTCGGATGCATTTCTTCTACCCCAGCAACATCGTCTACTTTTGAACCATCACAAGCATCTGCCTCTGTGATTCTCCAGCAGAACGATACATCGGTCGTGCTGGCACAAGACTTTGTCCTTCTTATCAAAGCAGATGGGCTCGACACACCCTGCGCATTGCTTGAGACACACCCCACTATTCCAAAACAGCGAGCCCTAATGGCAAGTCTCGTGCCAAAATTCAACCTCCGGCCGGCTAATCCAGAGGTAGTCTTTGTCATTGACAGAAGTGGCAGTATGTGGGACAAGATACCAACGTTGAAATCTGCACTCAGGGTTATGCTAAAGTCTTTGCCTGTCGGTGTCTGCTTCAATATCTGCTCTTTTGGCAGTGCTTATTCCTTCATGTGGCCAACGAGCCAGGTATACGATGCATCTAGCCTGAAGGAAGCTTTGGCTTTCGTTGACACCGTTGACGCGGGGATGGGTGGCACGGAGATGTTACAAGCAGTCCACGCTACCGTGAAAAATCGACATAATTCCAAACATCTGAATGTCTTAATTCTCACCGATGGACAGATCTTCGACCAAGATTGCTTGTTCAATTTCGTCCGCAAAACGGCTGCTGACACTACTGCTCGGTTTTTCACCCTTGGCATCGGCAAAGAAGTATCTCACTCTCTGATTGAGGGAGTTGCAAGAGCTGGAAATGGATTTTGTCAATCAGTAACGGCGTACGAGGACCTTAGTCGCAAGGTCGTCCGCATGCTCAAGGGCGCCCTGACCCCTCATGTCAACAACTACAAGCTAGAAGTTGAATATGACACTGAGACAGAGCATGAGTTCGATTTTGTGAGCGAGACTGAAAGTATTTCCGACTCTGAGACTGAGTTCAACGAGCAGGTGGGAGGCGGAGACGTTTCTATGGAAGAAACAACTCGGACATTATCGCAGCCGATCTCGTTGTACGACGAAAACTTCCAAGAGCCCGACTTGGACCTTGATGCCAAACAGAGAGCGAACGAAAAGCTTCCAACAATCACCTTTCCAAGAGCAATTCAAGCTCCCTACAATATTCCTCCTTTGTACCCGTTTATCAGGACAAATGTCTTCCTCCTTATGGACCCTCAATTGTCTGAGAAGACGCCAAAGTCCTTGAAGCTCAGTGCAACCTCTCTCGACGGTCCACTTGAGCTCAGGATTCCGATATGCAATATTGGTACCGGTAAAACAATCCACCAACTTGCCTCTCGCAAGGCGGTGATCGAGCTCGAAGAGGGACACGGCTGGCTCTCCCATGCTAAAGACGAGAACGGAAACAAGTTCCAAGATTTCCACATCGAGACAAAGCAGCGACTTGCAGAGCGTGAATGCCAGAACCTAGGAATCAAGTTCCAGGTCACTGGAAGATACTGTTCATTTGTCGCCTTGGAAGAGCGCAGCTCTTCGTCTCCAGAACCCCAGCATGAACAACATCTCACAAACGAACATGCTGTAGAGCAGATTTCTTCCAGCCAAGGGTCTGCTAAACTCCCAGGTGCCCCACTGACTGCTTGTAGGTTCCCGTACATCCCCACGGTGCGCACTGGTGGTGTAAGTGGTGGTCCCCAAATTGCGTACCCACAGATGCTTCAAGCTCAGGCAACAGCCCGGGCTCCAACTCAACAACCAAGAGGATTTACGCCGCAGCTTTATGGTGGAAGCAGCAATTGGGACCACAGGACAACGCCTTTTGCATACGATCAAACTGCGTTCCTTGGAGGCCTAGTTGCCCCGACTAGACCACCTGTGCAGCGAATGCGTGCCAGCACTTCAGTTGCAACGCCCCCGAATCCTGCTTTGACAAAGACCCCAGTAGCGAGAATGTATGAGCTTATCCAGCTGCAAACCTTTGAGGGTAGCTGGATGTGGTCGAACGAACTTTTCGAGGTTTTAGAATGTGACATGAACACAGCAATCATGAGATTGGCCACGCTGTACGCGAGTGCCAATCGAACGATTGAACCTGGGTTCCCGCATGGCGAGGAATCGAAGATTCTTGCAACCCTGCTTGCAATGGGAGGGTTACTGAAGAAGCACCCGGTTTTGAGGGGTGTCTGGGGGCTTGTGTATGCAAAAGCTTCTGAGTGGGTGACACTCGAGTTGAGGAAGATGCAGAATCAGGGTTTACCCGGAGCCATGATTGCATCAATCAAGGATGCGATTATTGACATAGTCTAAAAGATTACCTCGATGGAGGAGGTAGGCTTCGTGCTTACAAGGCCGCTCATGCTGAGTATGGATGGATGATGGTATTTGCTTGGAACTTGGAATTGGGAAAAGATGAGGAAAAAACCAAAAGATTGGATAGCTTTGGAATTAAAGAACGTCGCTTTTAATTTATTGTTCCTTGCGCTATCTGAATAATCAAATATCCCAAGATAAAGTAGCAGCGCCATGCCCAAGAAGCACCCTGGCGGCTTCAACAGTTCCAATGCTGATTGCATACTGACAGGGTGATCTTCGCCGTATTGGATTGATTTTACATTTGAGAAGGAATTCGATAGTTCGCGCACTGATATACATTTGACCTTGGTAAATCAACTAGAAGGTAATTCCAAGTGACTGGTATCCACCCCAATCAAGTACACGCTGCATGCTGTCGATATCTCTGGAGCGTACGGCGACTTTGAACATCTTGGCGCCCGGTCGAGATATGTCTAGTTTGTCCCGACAATCTTCATTAATAAACTCGACAACTGCTTGGCTGCCCTTTCTTCATGTCGTTGGGGGAATTTGGTGGGCTCAATTTTTGTCTGTTTCGCATTATCTTCGGCCGTACTGCTATTGTAAATCTCGCCGCCAGATGTCAGCTTGAACAGAGCACAGGCCATTCTCCATTTCTTTTGCATGTTCTTTCGCTAGATTGTGTCTTTCTGGACATCATAGTGAGCCTTGGGTCAAGACATGTCAAGGGCTGGTGAAACAAGATCGGAGGAAAAGTGAGACAGGAGAACAGGAAGGATTTGTGCTCAGACCAATTCTTCCATAGCTTGTCAGGCACGCGGAGGATGTCTGGCTACATCCATTGCCTCGATATTTTTGTAGGAAACATCAGGTTGCTCTGTCCAGCAATTGAGGATACAACTTCCCTCCGAGCTCAGCACCTTACTATTTTGATTCTCGCCCGCCCTATGACTTGATCTATAGACTGTTTTGGAAACGACGCTTCTCGCACTGATCTATAGGAGATACTCAGAGCAATGTATCATATAGCTTATTAGTGGCAATATAATGGTGCATTTTAATCCTTCATTGGTCATAACGAGCCCAAATTCTTAGCTTCACTCGAAGCAAGACGTCCATTGCAAATCAAGGTGTATTCTTGTTGGCCTTGGATTGCCTACAGTCTCAGGCTATTTACGAGTTATTCCAAGAAGTTCCTGCGCGTTACTAACCAATATTTGCTTTGTTGTTTCCACTCCAAGTAGATCCTGCAATCCATCATCCAATTTCTTAGCCAGAGACCCAGCCAGCGCTGCAGGTGTATAGGAATAATCACTCCCATACACCAATCTGGATGAATCAACTAGTCGGAGAAGACCATGAATCTGATCCGGAAATGGCACACCCGCAAGATCAAAATAGAAACGCGTCTGCAACAGCTGTTTGATCTTCTCCGCGCTGATCCCATCCCCCGAACCCGGAATCATGGACGAGAACGCCGCAATCCTCTCCATAATCGGAGGGAAAGTCGCACCACAATGACAAACCACAAATTTGATTCCAGGACATCGATCCACAGTCCCAGACGTAAGCAGACTCGTCAGCGCCCGGGTTGAATCAAACATAAACTCCATAATAGGCGCAGGAGCACCAGGAAGCGGCGTCACCTTTTCAATGGAGTCGTCGTCATCACCATGCCGGATAAGACATGTAGTGGGGTGAAAGAAGGCAATGGTTTTTCGTTCGCTCAATTTGTCAAAAACGCGAGTTAAGCGCTGATCGCCCGGGTAGATGCCGTGCGAATTGGTGAGGATCTGAAACCCCACTGCGCCAAGATGGTCCAGTGCATAGTCTATTTCTGCAAGGGAGCCTTCCACGTCGGGGAGGGGGAGGGAGGCGAAGAAGAGGAAGTGGGCTGGGTGATCGGCGCAGATTTTGGACATGTCGATGTTGGCGCGTCGGGTTACGGATCGGCCTTCTTCGTCATTGCCCGGGGTTAGATGTGTTCCTGGGGACGACATGCTTAGAACTGATTTTTTGATTTTTAGCTGGTCCATTAGTTCGATGTGTGCTCCGGGGCTCCATTCCTGGATTTTTGCATTTAGTACGAGAATTCGATGTGGGCTTTATCTTTAGAAGGGACTTACTGGGATCGCGGGCATTCCATCTGGGTGGCCTCTACCTGCGAAGTCATTCTGTAGGCAATACTCGCGATACGAGGGCGGCACACAGTGGGTATGGACATCGATTCTCTCCATTTCAGATATTGCGAATATGTACTCTGTAGGATTTGCCGGGAGGGATTGCTGATATTGACGAGTTCCTGTCCTGAGATCGACATTCCTAGTTCGTATTCTTCACCGGTCTTCTCATGAAACAGCCACTTGCTTACAGACTGCATATCAAACACAAGGAGACATGTCGTGTCGCCACTGCTCGTAATCGCCAATGCTGTGGAACAAGGAACCCAGCAGCCTGGTCAGGCAAACTGCACAGCTTTGAACCGACATGCGGTCTAGACAAATACCTAGATCAGATCTACTTTTGGCAATTCCTTCGGCTCAATAATCAATCCTCTCGCAGCCAGCAGTCGCGCCTGGGTGAGCTTCAGAAACCGGTACGTATTATCCAAAATCGGTGTGTTCACACCCTTCTCCTTCGCAACCCGCAAAGCATTCCCCAGAATGACCTCCACCTCCATAGGATTCCCTTTATCCACATCCACAAGCATACTAGGCCGGAAAGACAACTCGAGAGGAGTGATATCTATCATTTCATCCACAATACCCGGCCCGAGATCATACCCATCCGCCTTCGCAATGGCAGCCATCTCCATCATACCAGGTCGGATCAAGCTATTCTCGCCGCCGAATCGGCGAATCGCCGCACTGTCAAGCTGAGTGATAGCGCACATGGGATTGAAGATTCCATTCCAAAGCACCTTCCGCCAGCGATAGAAGACGATATCATCGACGACCTCCGCATCGACGACTTTGCTCCCGTTATAGATTGACGCGAACTCTTCGAGCTTTGCACGCTCGAATGCCGCGTCCACGGATGGGTTGTGGAATGCGCCAATGTTGAAGCGGTCGTGATCGTCGTGTACCACATGGCCGTTGTGTTCGTGTGCGCCGATGAAGCTCGGCGCCGACAATACCACGTTCGTGGGGAATGCTGCGATGATTGGTGGTTCGATATACAGACCGTTTTGGAATAGGACGATCGTTGTATGATCTGGCGTTATGGCTGGAGCTATGATCTTAGGGATGTTGTTCACTTCGGGGATGTTCTTCATTGTGACGATCACATAGTCGAATGGGGTGTTAGGGTCGGCTAGAGGGACCGCATTGACGACTATTTATGTATTAACTTTGGATGAGCTTGACGAGCTGATGTTCGCTTGCGACTTTTCGAGGGTTGCATACTGGCGCTTGGTCTCCAGGATGATAATTTTCCATGATCGACAGATTCGATTTCGAATCCGTGCTGCATAACTTGTTCATAATTGGATCGGAGAACAGAAGTCACAGTTGCCTGTCCTGATCTTTCGAGGGCGACGCTGACCATCGTGCCCACACCCCCTGATCCAATCACTAACACTCGGCGTTTTGGCATGTTGGTAATATGGGACATGTTGAATTTGCGATGACTGGGGAGATAGTTTCAAGGACTTCCTTGTAATTTATCTAAGTCAACATCCGACGCCGATAGCAAGGCCGATGTCGCATCTGATTAGCTCGGGATCTACTTCTTCCCCTCTTATCTACACGCCCCTCACTGGATGACCACGCCGAGATATTTCCCCGATTTGGTCGTTGTTATCGACTTTGTAAGACTTTTGCCTTGAAAATGAACTATACAATATACAATATACAATATACTTCACACCCAATGTCCCACCATGGACGCGTTAAACTATATGCACTTCAACAGATCGGATGATAAAAAGTGATGTAACATGTCTACCCTTTCAAATAACCCTGCACCCCTATATTTCCAAATTAGCAACCCAAGATGAAGAATCCAGTGAAACAAATGCGACTCCCAGACCTTGAGGACATCCTCGACTTCGTGAAAGATGTCGCAGAGATCTCCGGTAGATGGGTCAACTGGCAAATCATCCGAAGCAAGCGACATGTATGGTGGGAGACTGATCGGGAGGTGTTATCGCGATGGGCACAGTCAATCATCGAAACCGAAGAGCGCCTTCGCGAAATCACTCAACACGAGTACTTCATCAAAGAATGTATCCGGGAGATCGATGGTCGGTCCGATGAAGCAGCCAAAACCATACTGACGGATATGATCGAAGATATGATATCCTTGGCTCACGAGTATGCGCGCATCGAGCGGATCTATGACACGATGGTCGCTGGTTGCCCTGTCAGTCCTATTAAGAGTGGATATCTGTGGATTCGAAAGCAGCCGCAGTGGCATCTTCAAAGTGAGTGGTTGCGAGAGGATTGTGCGAGGCGCGGTGGATGCTGTGGTCGTCCATGCAAGTGTTGTGAGAGGCCACCTGATCCGACGAGGAGGAAAGGCTGGGGTCACTGTACGGCTCAATGTGCCTGTTGTAATATTGAGCGTGGATATCGACTGACTGAGAGGGAGTTGAGGTTTTTGCAGCCAGATTTTGATCTTACGGTTTACCCGTGGAGTGATTATAGTCGTGAGATGTTTCGTGCGTATATCTGGTCGCTTGACTAGCTTTTTTTTGTTAGTTTTGTTTGAAAGGAAGTTGCTCAAATGTCTTGATATATAGTGCTAGTGAAAAGAAATCGAGTCCTGGATTATTTCTTATGTGGGTCCAGTTCAAGTAGGACACTACCCCAAGCTGAGGAAGGCTGCATACTCAATCGGGACTGACTTGGATATGCAGGTCACGTTGGAAGGCGTCTGTTGACATAATCCAGAACTCACAGGTGCCCACCTGGGCACTTGGCCCTGCCTGTAGACCACCAATCTTATATATCATTTCTGGTTTCTACGTTCTACTTTCTACCCTTCATTTATTCCCTCTTATCAGTCTATGAAAGTCGGGGCAAGCTGAGCCGGTGGCAAAGTCAAATATACATTACAACATTGCAACATTGCAACAGCCAGAATGAAAGATAGGAGGGGAAGCTTCTCAAAGCCGACTGCCAAGCCGGCATGTTTGACGCATTCTGATTCGACGAGATTGAGTATCGAAGGATCAGCCTGGTATACTTCGAGTTTCCCCGCACTATATTTACCTTCGATAAGAGAATGTCATATCTTCGCAATTGCCGACAGTCGGATTGCTTAAATGGGGGATGTTCCCTTTCGAAACTTACCGTGTATAACTCTCAACTATGGCTGACGATCGAGATGAGACTATTTGGCCGCCAGGAACGGTTAGGTTAGAGGATAGTATGTGACTCCAAATACTACCGTAGCGATACGGCTTAAACTGACCGACTCAGTTCACCAATCCAGAGACCAAGTAGTCCTATTTCCCACCCCATCGGCCGACCCTAATGATCCCCTCAATTGGTCAACATCTCGCAAAGTCCTCAATTTCACCCTAGTCAGCTTCTTCGTGCTATGGACCTTTGTGCAACTCGATGTCGGTTTCACAGCATGGGGCCCAATGCAAGAAGAGCTTGGTTTCTCACTTGATATACTGAACGCCGGAGCAGCCGTCAACTACGGCGGTCTCGCCGTAGGCTGCATTTTCTTCATGCCCTTAGTCCATAAGTACGGCCGACGCCCAGTGTACATATTCAGCGTCGCTCTGCAATTTGCATCATGTATCTGGCAAGCTCAGACATATATCAACGGAGATCTATTGGGTAGCAACCTGATATCCGGCATCGGCGGCGCAATCAGCGAGATCATTGTGCAGGTGACCATTGCAGACTTGTTCTTCGTGCACCAGCACGCCACAATGAACGGCTGGTATGTTATCGCCCAGATGGCAGGGGCTTTTCTTGGTCCTGTAGCATCGGGATACATTGTCGTTGCACAAGGGTGGAGATGGATGTGGTGGTGGTGTGTGATTTTCTTCGGCGTCACACTACTCTGTGTTATATTCCTTTTCGAGGAATCAAAATATGTCCCCGTTCTGAATGGCCGCGACGTTGTTAATGATGCCCAAGTGAATGGGGAACCGTCCGAGCCACGTAAGGATGGGGACGTGATGGATACAAAGAGCGCCTGTGAGACGATCGCTACCCGTGTACCTACCAACCCGGACATCCAGTCGACTACCTATTTCCAGCGGATGGCCTTGTTGACCATCACTGATGAATCGCTGTGGCCGCATTTCTATCAACCACTCGTGACGCTCTTCACCTTCCCGGCTGTTACGTATGCGGCCATCACCTACGGATCTACGCTAAGCTGGTTCGCGATCATGACTTCGCTACAGGCTTCTTACATGCTCGTACCTCCTTACAACTTTGATGCTATAGGAGTCGGACTCATGAATGTGGCTCCATTTGTGGGCGCTATGCTAGGTTTTCCCTTTGGTGGACATTTGAGCGATAAATCGATCTTATGGTTATCCAAGCGCAATGGCGGCATTTATGAACCGGAGATGCGTCTTTGGCTTGCTCTTCCGATTGCCATTGTTAGCCCCGGGGAATCCTGATGTTTGGTCTGGGCCTTGCCTACGTGAGTAGCTTCGTCAAAGTATGGAATCTGGACCTTGCTAACACTGTCTAGGGAGCGCACTGGGCTATTCTTGCTGTGGGATTCGGATTTTTCGGTTTTTCACTTGCCGCTGTTAGCGGTATCACGCTTTCATATCTCATGGATTGCTATCAAGACGTGAGTACCTTTTGTATTTTTGAGTTGGCTCTCTTTCTAACTTTATGACTTCCAGATCATTGGTGACGCATTAGTCGGAGTGATTTTCATGCGAAACATCTTCTCAGTGATTGTACTGTTTGTGTTAACGCCTTGGGTGGACGCGATGGGCATGCGAGACTTGCATATTCTGGTTGCAGTTATTGCCTTTGTCATCCTGTTGATCCCGATCCCGCTTCTCATCTGGGGCAAGAAGGCTAGAATTGCCACTGCACCAAGTTATAGGAGGATGGCGGCAAATCAGCTTAGCCATCGGACTATCTAGATATTAACCTACAACTAGAATATACGATCGGAACTCGCCTTTGTGTCTGTTGAAAGTATTTTCTTCAACCAAAGGATGCGATCTCAACAATGACATCAAGAAATGGTATAATAGTTTAAGACAAGTTCATGAAAGTATTCTAAAAAATAATATGACTGTAAAAGTCAGGGCGTTAAATGTTAAAGGTATCACAAAGAAGAAAATAAATGAGTGCCAAAGTTTTGTTGCTTCCCAGACTCCCCCCGACCAACCTGTGCAATTCGTGCCCTTTTCATCCCAAAATCCCACAGACTTAGACTCTTTCAATTGCTTGTTCATCTTTATAGGTTTGATAAGGAGACTCGTCAAAACGCTTCTGGGTCAGAAACGAGTCATTCTTCTGGTGACACGAAGTGATGGTGGTGGTCATGGTTCCAGTATTGTTCGAGCTCACAAGAGTCCTATCGGACATCTCTGACACATTGCTGTTGGAGGAACGAATTTGAGACCAGAAGTTGCGATTACCCAACTTGAACAGAGGGCGGAGGTTAGGGAGACAAGCAGCTGTGATTCCAACCGCTGCTTCCATGCAGGTCCACACGATGACGGGAACTTGGTTGTCTATACAAGTGGTTAGTGATGTAGATCAGAGGACTGAAAAAAGTGCTGACAGGGGAGATACTCACAAGTGATATCAGGACCCAACTTAACCAGTCTAATCATGGCATAGAGGCGGAAGATACTGAAGACCAAAGTTCTAGACATGGAGTGTTAGTGTTGGCCCACTGAAACAGGAATGGGAATATCAAACATACAGGCCACCGAGAAGGAAGACTCCGGAAAGAAGCATTTTCTGGGCCTTGGGAATCGGTAATTTCCACACGACTCCCATGGGCATGATTAGGAGGATGACGTCGGTGAGGATGTTGGGGATCTGCATGCCATAGTAGAATTTGGCTGGATCGAGGCAGGCTCCAGGAATTGATTGGTCCCAGAACTTGCTAACGGGGATACATAGAAGAGCACCGGCGACGTAGACACCCACAACCCAGAGAGTGACGAATCCAGCCATCACATTCACTGCAACTGCCATTTTTCGGACTGCGAAGAGGCGTTTGTATAGCGCCAGAATTGAGAATTTAATAAAGGCAATGCAGCCAGTGTAGATGAAGGCGTTGGCAAATCCGAGCTGTCTCGAGTCAGTGTGGATACTTGACATAGGGCTGAGATGCTACGTACCTTGAAGTAAACCAGGAGATTCTTGGCTGGGATCATTGTGATGTGGGACCCCATTCCATTGTATAGGACTAATGTGGGTGTTAGTTTCATGCCTGTCTGATGAGATCTCTGACGCCACTCACGAACGACGACGCCACTGGAGCATGCATATTTGAAGAACAGAGCTATCATAATCAAGTAGTCATCCAGGAAGAGTCTGCTTCCGGTCATCTTCCTCGCCAGTACCCTTAGGGCAACGGAGAGAGTTGACAAGGTGTAGGCAACCACCAGTGCAACAATCATTGACCGGCGAAATGCCTGGTTCGGGTGCTCGAAATCTCCTTCTGTCCACGTGGGAACGGAGGAATGCTCTGTGGAAGACATGACGGACAGGTCTGATGGATCAAGACCAACAACGGGGTAACATTAAACGAGAGAAAGTTGTTGGCTTGAGATATTTGGAATCATTCAAAGCTGCGCTGTGTCTTTAATATATCTGAAGGAGATGAGGACGGGGAGAGGGGGAGGCACCATCTATGTATGTATCCTGGATCTGTCATATTGTTCGAGATCCAGGAAAATTAACGCAAAACGTGATATCAAGGGTTCACAGATCATATTGTTGACAGGGCACGGATTATGTGCAGATGGCATTTCAGCCATTACACGGGCCCATGCGAACTGGGGTGATAACATATTGCCCTTGGAAAAAGCAAGATGCGGTTAATCAACGGTCGGATCATGAAGCAGGGATTTATTTTGTGCCTTGACCGTAGAGATTCTCTACCAATCATAGGAAAGCAAAGGAAGTCTTTCCCGACGTGTCCAGTTGGGAAGTGGATATATCAGATTGGCGTCTGGCAGGAGATCCACTTTGTTGCAAGATATTTTACCCGAAAACTCGTGGACAGAATGTGGTGAAGGGAGTGACAGGATATGCTTGCATATGCTGGCATATTGCTTTTTAGCTCAGTTCAAAATAATTATTTGAAATACGCAGTAAAGGCTTGCTTATTGCATTGTGGTCAAGTTCTTCACCGGAAGGATACTCAACGAATGGACCTTATCCCTATACAATAAGCAAGGGATCAACAATAAAGAATACAATAAGCTTTGAGAGATAGATAGACCGGGATACAGTTCTCTAGAGTTTAGGAGAATAATTAGAAACAGACATACCGCAATGGATCAATTGACTGACAGCTGTCTCCGTAGGGATCTACAACGTACGAAGTCAAGAACGCCATGATCGTCCAATAATTGGAAACCATGCGGGTCATGGATTACACTTTTTTAAGTCGCCGTTTTGGCGGATCTTCTCGTATACATATGTAAAAACACGGAGGTCTGAGGCTTGATATGATATGTCCACTAGACAGTGGACACATCCGATGGCGGCCCACATGGTAGCTTTTAGTGGGAGCTGGGCCGTTAGATTCTCCAATCCACATGGCATTGTCTTTGTTATTGATTACGAGCATGACTATACGTCTCATGCAGACTACACTCGATTGCACCCTGCTTGATGATCCCCAGTTGCTTTTCTTACACACAGTCGTACAGCGATGCAATCTTGAATGCAATATTATATGCAATCTCAATTGGAATTGTTCAATACATTGTATAAGTTTGGAGTACATATTTGTGCATCTTTCATAACTTAATTGTCCGGGAACTGTCAAGCGACTCGGCACTGATGATCTCCGATCTTCGCAAGGGGCTCGAGGGTTATATGGGTGATTACGATGTATCTCCCGGCCATGAGAAATTCCACCTAGTCAGTTTTCAGAGTTTATGTTCCTTGCCGTTCTGTGATTCATTGCCTTTGACAAAGTTCGACATCCAACACGGTCCCCAGTACTAATGGGCTAGCGAGATATCGAACCGATACTTTGATCGACTTGACGTGCTATATCAACTCCTACATAGTTGTTAGAGCAGTGGGAATCCAAGAAGGTTAGCGGCCAATGTTGCTACCCATACCTTCATGGTATACACACGGGTCTATTCCATTTGGGGAAGAATTTGGATACAACCCAACTTCTCTAGGAATGACTTTCACCTTGATTAATATTCGCAGCTGTCGTATTTTTGGCTCTGACACTCTGATCAGCAGCTGTATAATCTAGGGAGGCGACATGTCAACGTCTGAAAGCCGCTTGTCATCTCCCAGTCCACAAGTTTGCCTTCATGACTCGAGCCGATCCACACCCCTGTTCGCCAACCCTTTCCAGACACACAACTGTGTATTATTGGATGTCGAGGCAAAATTTACCTCCCTCTGGCTCCACTGTGGACCTACGATGAAATGATTACCAATATCCTTGGGTCCAATTGTTGAATTCGATAGCGATCGAACTGGGCATGGTTCCTTCCAATCAAGAAAAGCGATGCTTTACATGCATCCGATCTAACGATTAGCGCTCAGCCACAAGATTGACCAAAGAAGTCACCCACAAAAACATTTCACCGAAGTTCTTTAAAAATATCCGCAAATCCGACATGACCAAGGTCGCTCTTATCACCGGCGGCAGTATGTAATTCTCCACAATCCCCGGACTATCCATTGACCAAAGCTCGAATAACAGCCAGTGGAATCGGCCTGGCAGTTGCCAAGGACCTGAGTCTGACCGATAGTTGGCAGGTCAACATTATTGGAAGCAATCAGAAGCGAGGTCAAGAAGCAGCGGCATCCCTCTCAAATGTCGCCTTCTATCAAGTCGACGTGCGCAATTACCAACAGCTAGCCGCTGTATTTGACCAGATTTTCAATGCCGCTGGTCGGATAGACTTTGTTTTCGCGAACGCCGGAAGAGCAGGGGACACTGATTTCTTCGCCAAATGTGAGACCGGCATCCCGCCTGATCCGGGTTTCGACATTGTCGATATCAACGTGAACGGCGCTTTGTATACCAGTTATCTCGCGATGCATTATTTTCGTCGCTCTCCGAAGTCAACGAAAGGGCATAGAAACTTGATACTCACATCGAGTATTGGGGGACTGTACCCCTGCATGCTAACCCCGGTGTACTCTAGTACTAAACGTGTGTTGGAAATAAACAAATTGAACGAATCTCACCCAAGGCATGGCTAATCGATGTCTAGATGCGCTCGTTGGATTCACTCGCTCTGTCGGAGAGCGACTTTGGGAAGAGGGAGTCCGGATCAACGCTTTGTGCCCTGGTGTTGTCGAAACGCCTCTTTTTTCCGTTGAAGCGTTTACGTCGGTCTTCCCACGGGAAACATTTATCCCTATGGACGTTGTGACTGGTATAATATCACAGCTATTGTCTGGTGGGGATATGGTAGACGCCAAAGGGATGCGCGTGGCTGGTGAGGAGATGCATTCCCGGGCTATTCACGTTTCAGGAGAGAACTTCCTTTTCATTGAAAAGCCCGGGATCTATGACGAGCAAACCCGAATCACATGGGCTGCAATGATGGGGCATGAATAAGTTGTGAGGGTCGCGTCAGATGATACGACTGCTTCATATCGAAATGCTGGAATAGTATAAAAGTTTCTAGACTAGACCATTATATGTGTGTTCGTGTGCAAGATGTCTTGCGTATATAATCACATATTTCAAACCAGTAGATATGGACCCCACTATCCATCGCATCCCATGCCAATGACAAGGAGCGTCTTACTTGAAGCTGCAATTCTCTGGAGAAAGTCACGACTTCGGGAATCTTGTCAACGACTGCGGCTCGCGCTTCAGTCCTCGTGACCTCAAAGCATGCAACCATATAGGGAAGCGATGCGCATGGTATCGGGCGCCCTATTGATTGCAAGACCATATCGATCTTCGCGGTAATAGTGCTGGATAGCTGCAATGCTTCCTTGTGACGTTTTCCAAAGGGATGGCGTATCCGATGTACAATAAGCAAAGCCGCAAGACGGAGAACCTCGGCCTGAGCGAGCATACCAACAATCTCCAATTGAGTGAATCTTTCAATAATTTCCGGTGGGGGGGGGGGTTGCCATTGCTCTAGCGAATCTTGTATCGCTTTCAGTCGCTCAACCATCTTCATATCCATTCGCCCACCGGTCACTTTCATCAAATGACTTGCCCCACATATATCATACAAATGAGCAAAGATTGACGAGCTAACCCCAAGGTACCGATCAACAACATTGCAGCGATCATGTTCACCGATGCGGATAGTCGGCAGCTCAGACCTCAGCAGACACTCAAAAGTCTCCGTGCTAACCAGGCACATCAAAAAGTCCATGTTACCAGGGTTCATGGCTAAGATAGTTTGATAAACCGGCTTGACAAGGTTCAATGTGTAGTGCGATATAAGAAATGGCTGGCCATCGGCAACATGCATAGCAAAAGTCACCATGGACACACCAACTACGAGCGCAGTCACCAGATCCTGCTCTTCGGAGATTCTCAATGACCGCAGTCCTGACACAGCCAATGCAGCTCGTCGATGCCCAACTTCCGCGCTTGTCGTGGTGTATTGCGCATATTGGTCTCCGAGAAGCACGGCGGTACAAGCGAGTGTGGCGTCTTTTAATATAGGTGTGGGAGCGGGTCGGAGTAGGTTCTGCACAAACAGACGGTGGTGCGACTCGTGGAAACTCGGTCCAATTAGATATTTGTCCAGTGGGGATGGTGCGACGATGTCTTTCATCAAATTCAGGAAATGTCTTTCCCACTGGTCTAATTCGGGAAATAGGGATGGGTTGCTGGATAGACCTTCGTCGAAGGGGAGGTAGAAGTGAGGATAGGATGTGTTTTGGGAAGAAGATAGGTCGAGTGTCTTTGCATTTCGTATGACTGAGCTGCAGCTGGAGGGTGGAAGATTATAGGATAGCTTTCTTGTAACGCGTGGCCTCCGTCCGGGTCTGGCAAGGTTTCGTATTGTCTTGCAGCATTGATTCAAGCGGTCACATCGCTCGCACGAGGATGTTGCACTTAGGCGTCGGCACTTTTCTTTCAATGTGTGACATTGATCACAGGCTCGTTTCGGGGCGTGCAAGGTCATATTTTGAAGCTATTCAGCTCAACACAGTTGAAATGCATACCACTTGTCAAGCAATCTCATCGGGTTCAAAAAGAAGAGGTCGGAGAATCAAGTCAACGGAATTGCGCCGATAAGGTCGGGTGGACTTGACTATTGTGTGCAAGCGTGCGGGGACCTAACGTTGCCATTTTAGCTTGTGATCGTTCGTATATTCGGTCATTATACATCTTTGATATCTAGTATGTGGCGTTACTTGGTTTTGTGATTAATTCTGAGCGCGTTGCTCAAGGCATTCAATATATACAAATGAGACTAATGTATCCTTCTCTTTCTGCCTGAAAAAAATGCTGAAGCTCTAAGTGTGCCAGGCCGGGGTCTTAATTGACAACTTATGTCATCCTTTCTGTGCAAGTCTGTGAGATTCTTCGCCTATAAATTGAAGGTATAGTTTGTAACAAAGGATAGAGACACGCCTTCCATAATCGACAGTTTAGAGCTCCAGACGAGATCTATATACTGTGGTTGCGCTAATAACCCTCGATCAAATCAGCCCTGGTTCAAAAAACGCTCCAGACGCGCTACTCTAAAAGAAACAAAATCCAGTCTACTGAGTGACAGCAAGTTGATCATTCTCTTGTCGAAGTCTTTTCCGTGAAATATGTCTCAACCCCTTGATCACATACAACGCCTTGCCCACATCTTCCCATTGTTCCCTTGGGTATAGGTGATATGCAAGTCTGAGCACACCATCTGGAGTCTTCAATCTCATCTGGTTCGGATCGGTTTCTTGCGAGACGTCGTTCGAATTTATCTTCTCAATATTCACCTGCACAGTGTGGGCCAGCCTCCAACGACCAAATGGCATGTCCCCGGGGTTTTGAGCGGGGACGAAAAAGCGATCCCTGTTCTGATTTTTGCTCTCCGCATTCAACGGTTGTGCAGTGAGAAGATCCCATATGACAGCTTTATCACTCTGGCCCTCAGAGGATACGTATAAATCAATCAAGTCAAGCACATGATACAGTTCACCTGTATCGTCGAGCTTCTTTCCCTCCTCCGCATCCTGCTCAACAGGGAACAGGCGGGTGAGAATGCCTGGAACTGGGGGTGTACGAGGAACGCCTGACTCAGTAAAGCTTCCTACCTCGTTAATTGTCGGCAGTTGTGTGGCTACTTTAGCCAGCGTAGAACTGAACTGATAGTCAATGACTGCCCTGCAGCATTTGATGATATTAAAAGCAGTTCCAATACTACTGTACTGGGGTTGGCCTGGGTGTAGAATGTCGAGGAATGATGAAAAAGACACCTGACATGGTAACGGGGCCAAGCCAAGAAATTCTTCAACAACATCAAGGTACATCGCGAGATTGATACTATGCACCAGGTGCAGCGCACAGAGGCGAGCCTCTTTGGCGATGCTAGCGGGGCTGGTGGATGTATTTGGTTTATCCCACTTCGAGTCGACAGCTTGTATTTCGCACAATCCCCAAATCATCTCTTCTGGTAGTTGACGGCGGCTTGACGTTTTTCGAGCCGCATAGTCAATCAACTGTGTGACTTCAATGTGTTTGCGTCTACCCGCCGCCTTCAAAATGGTAAACACCTTTTCTAATGGTCCCCATTCTGATCCCACACCTTCGAGGGATTTTCCAGGGGTTTCAAAATACTTCTCAACCCAGGTCGCGAGCTCGTAGTGACTGCTCGCCATGATTTCGTCATCTTCTGCTCGTTTGTTGAGACGCTTAGCCGTGCTAACCTCGAGTTGTCGTAGCGCGGCCTCGCCTGTCAGAACGATACCGTTGATGACATCTAATATGCGTTTCTCGTCTTCCGACACTTCTGCGCCCTGAGAATCAAGTGGTTTGTAAATCATGTCGTGCTCGATCTCAGACCATACATGCATGACCAGCGTTCCAACCTGAATCTCACCGACAACGTCCATCCAACCAAACTTGTTTATGTCGGCAAGATATTCATCTCGCAATCTTACTACAAAATGGGTTGCCTTGTATCCAGTAAAGGTTCGTATTGATTGTTGAGGCCTCTTTGAATGTAGTGTAGACTGATTGGTGTTTTTAGGATCCTCGAGTGAGCGAAAGCGTTCTTCCAGGCTCTGAACATCAATTCCAGACCTATGACCTTTGTCTGTTCGACGAACGATATCAAACCGCTGTTCCAGAACAGCAGCAACTTTCTCAAGGTCTCCTGGAAAATAAAGTGATATTCGAACGCCGCTGAAGTCATGTAAAGTGGCGAGCATGTCTTCTGAACCATCGGGAAGCTTTGTGTCTTGACTATTCAAACTGAGCCCTGTTTCGCGTGCATACTCTTCCCACCTTCGACCTTTAGATTCCACGAGAGATTTTAAGCGCTGGATTAGAATTCTTTCGTGCTGTCTGCGCAAAAGGCTACCATGGGCGGACTCCCATGACTTGACCCTCGACGTGATCGGAGCGTGGCGGATATTTGACGCATCGAGGGCCGCAGAACAGATTTTTTGGACCTCGGTCGTAAAAAGTGTCATAGTGTCTGTCCTGGCGCTGAATGCTCTACGAAGCCATTCCAAGTCGTCGATTGTATCTTGAGTATCCTCCATAGTATAATCCATGATCGGTTTGTAGGGCCCAGCCTCTGCCGGAAGACAAAGATTGCTTAGGATTCTCTCTTCACCACCCAATGTATGTTTAGAGGTTTGGGTAAGAGGGGGACGAAATATCTATGGCATATCTACAGGGGACTCCCCGCCCATGCAAGACAGGCTGTCAACTCGCGTAAAAAGCAATGAAATGCGAAAAGATACCACTTCCCCACCTATGTAGGTCCGTGCATTCCATGTACCTTCGCATCCTTCAGATCTCTGACAAGGAATTGACCAGAAATCATTTCAATCTTGTAAGGACCACTTCCCACTCCACACCCCTCGGGGCCGAAAACAATTCATTGGTCTTCAGTATAAGCTATAAACCAAAGTGTCGGATGTCTTCCATGTCTAATCTTTGTTGTAATAGGTCAGTAAACAACATCTGTCTGCATGGGGGGGTGAAGATAAACCGGGGATTTACGAAGAGAAAGAAACGATCAGTTTTTCTAGACTTTCATATATGCGAAAAGGTATGACATATCACAAGTATGAAACCACCCAACTCCACCCTCAATATATCAATATATGCATATCCAAAGTGTACATATTAGCGTCAACAGTTTTTTAAACTGGGTTGGATGGTCCTACTACTCTCTTTCGTATTTTTGCGCACAATACGACCAGGGCAGCAAATCTACCATCTAACGCTAATATCCCCATAATGAACGCCGCGGTTGGCAGGGCGACCGCCCAGTATACCCAGAAGCGGTCACTCCCAGGGCCATATGACTCGTTCATACTAAAGATCCCGGTTATGAACGTCAAGGGAATAAAAGCCATGGCAATGTACGTCAAACGCCGGACATCCTCCGCCTGCGAGATCGACTTGTGGGAGTCCATGAGTTGCACCAGCGAGGTAATAATGGGGTTCATTGCCTCGAGGGAGCGAGAATGCTGCACAATTTGATCTTCACAGTACTTGATATCTGCTATTAGCAGATTCCAAGTTGACGATTCTCCATGCGTGATGGGTTTTGTTGTCATTGCCTCGTTCTGCTTGGAATCTTCAACTTTTGGGATCCAGTGTTCGACCAAAAGTCTCATTATCTGTAACTTGTGAAGACTCTGCAGGCTCCGGCGCCGCCATCTATGAAGGTCTATGATATCGTGCTTTTCAAACTGCTCTAACCGCGATGGCACGGTTTTGAAAGAGTACTCATAGTACTTGATATAACGCCCCATCAGCAACCCATATAGCATCCACTCTTGTATTACTACCTGGATTGGGTAGTAAGCAAGGGATAACATGCTGGGGTTTCCTGCTTTCCATCCGGGAGGTAAGACGTGGAAGAAGCTTAGGAGGTTGTCGTTCGGGTTAAGAGCCTGGAAATTTGAGCTCGCTGCATTTGAGGCTAGGAGTTTAGCATATGTTGGCGGATCACAGAAAGCTTCGACTCCAATCCGACGTGGAATTTGGGTGATTCTGGACCCTAGAGTCTGTGAATCACTGCATCCTGGATGTACCACGATATCAGAGGCAGGGTCCACAAGAAGTATGCCTGGCTTATTGATCAGAGGCTATCCTTATATGCTTGTCCACCTGGGATTGTCTTACATATCCAAAAGTCACCTGTTAGCTCTTTCTTTATCAAAGAGCTGCATGCCTGAAGGAGACCAATCGATCTACCAGATAAAACGGGAAGGCGTCTGACTCTCCTAGGAACGTTCGCCGATAAGGCGAGATGGTATGACGTGGGGCCCAAGACGGACTCGTCGCCTAAGTCAAGCACCTTTTGGTAGTGAATGTTGACAAATGCCCGAGAGATAAGCCGAGATGGTGGCAGAGCTAATAGCGGTGGGGAATGAGTTTTTTCAATATCTTCGTATGAAGATGCGATATGGCCACAGAAGAAAAACGGATCGATGTCAAAATATGAACCAAGAGTCTCTATATCTGTGGGGTGAATATTTTCTACCACAGCCAAAATATTCTTGCTGAGTCCAGAATTGACCAAGGCCACTAGTCCATTGGTGCTGATTTCCTGGGATTGACCTATACCATCGGTTTTCCCCATCTCGGCATATCTTACCATGCTGTTGCACGCCGTGCGAGATTGGTGAAGAAATTCACAGAGTGTTTTAAGGCTCGGGTTTTGGTGAGCCACAGCTGTCACATAATCACGGTAAGATTTCCCCATATCTTTTGAAACGAAAGTTTGACAGCACGAATTCAGGCTTATGTCTTCAAGGTGTACAGAGTAACTTGAAAATGACTTGATACCTTTTCAGCCGGTGCGGATGGAAGTCTGGTCTCCTGTGTCTCATGTAGGTAGCGAGTACGAGTGCCACGTCAGACATGCAGGTACTCGATCCGACGCACGGCCCGACTTGCGAACGCGGGTCTCATGCCTAAAGTGGTCTAATGTAAATTTCTTGATACTACACGTACCATTTGTATAGGGGTGCCATACAAAAGGTACTTACGATCTGGATTTCTTCAAATTGTTGCTCGGCTAGAATATTCATATAGATAGGAGAGAAATAACGCGCCAGAATGCATGTTATCAGGATTTTATTGCTCGGGGATTGCCTAATATGAAAATGTGTGCTCCATGGTATAGTGAAGGAGGGTCCTTCAGAGTACAGTCTCCATTACTCTACTTTGATATAGGAACAATATCAAATAGTTGAAAAAACACTTGACTTCTTTTTTAATCATAAAACAGCTTCAAACTTCATACCAAAGTATCTCCTAGATGTTGAATCTTTCGGCTGAGAAATATGAGTAACGAAAGGGTTGAACCACAGAAAGTTCACATATTCCGGTTCTATAGAAGGTACCTATATAGAGAGACATGTGAGATCAAGATGCTCCAGAAGTTTGGCCGTGCGATAAGCCAAGTAGTTTGACATGGATTTCCTCCAGAACGTCGGATTACCACCTCGTTTGAATTAAAGATATACTTTATAATACGATAATGAAGACCCGGTCCAGCCGTGCAGAAAAAAAGAAATTAACTCAACCTTAGCAGTTTAGATTATCTGCCATGCGCCTCCAAACAGATTCAGGCAGTCTCCCATGAACCCAATAACCACCATCCTCCCCATCCCGGCTCCGTGCTTTGCACGTCACCAACAAGTCATCCAAGTGACTTTTAGTCTCACGCAGAAGTCCACAATAGTCAACACCCCCCTGTACAAAGAGCGGGGTTTCACCTTGGATATCCAGATCATAAAGCGGCAGGTTTTTCCAAGAAGCAATGCGTGGTTGAGCCGCTCTGCTGCCATATAATCTTGGCACCATGGGACTCTTCTTCAGGCTCTTGTGCTGCTCAACAATCTCCTCAATGCATTTTGGCTGCTTTGCCTCATCAACCGCACGCCGAATGTATGTCGCGAGTCGAACCAATGAAGGAGAGGTATATTCGCTTGTAGGCATTGGATCTGGCACCGGCATCACGTACCAGGAATTGGAGAGTTTTGTCTCGGACTGCAGTTGTTTTGAAATATCAATAACTAGGCCGAAGCTGTGGGGGGTAGGTGGGTGTAAAGAAGCCTGTGTAGGGTAATCTATTAGTGAATATGTTCGATTTTGGGTTAAGCAAATGAAAGGCGGCATTACTGACCTTGTAAATATAGGCTAACAATAGGTCATATTCGGTTGCGTTGGCATTCTTACTTTTGGCTTCCTCTAACCAGCTCTGAATTTTCTCTCGGGGGATCAAGAAGCTCTTGCTAATCCGTCTCGCAGAAGGGTAGCATACATTGCGCACAATCTGCTTTGCGAGAGCTCCGATTCCAGCTGCCCAAGTGCAACGCATTGAATACTTGTGCAAGTCTGCAATCTGATGAGCGTCAATCATCTCAGCGCATTTTTCGAGTACTTCGAATTTCAGTGACAATGGTGGCCGGTCATGGAGGGTGTGGGTAATTTTGCCTCCCCTTAGGAGGGTGCAATAAGCCTGAACTATTCGAAAGGCGCCTATGATCACATTATTAGCTCTACTGGGTTCGCCGCTTTTCTAATTCCTGAGACTATACCCACCATTTGCGTCACAAAGGGGCTGCAGAAACTTGAACCCAATGATGCAGGCATCGGTCAAGAACACCGTTCTTATAGAGAAGACTCGCTGCTTCCATGCATGCGAGAATCGATACCCAAAATTTAACGCCCGATCGAGTGCCTCGGAGTCGATCAGCTGTGGACAATCCTGTTCGGGGGAAACTTGGAGAATCTCGCTGAGTTTTTGTTGAACGGTTTTCCCTTCCCACACTTCCGCCAGATCACAGAGGTTTTTTGGGTCTGAAAATTTCGTTTTCTGTGTAATGTGAGACTTGGCACAGGTATTGATGTTAGCAAGTACCTACCAACGGATTCATTCGCAAGTTCAGCACAGGCCATTGCAAAAGGAGGGTATCGGCGGCAAATTGAAAGTCGAGCGGGCTGGGATTGGTTCTCACGACAACTGAAAGAGTAAACTCGAGAGGTCGGGCATAGCCCATATCGAGTGGACTTGTCTTCATCATTTTGACAGCAGTAAAAGACAATTAGACCCTTCCAAAATATAGCAAGATGAGACGAGATGCAAAACTGAACTTCAAAATCAACTAGGAAGTTATATTCATGATCGATAGGGACAAGATGAGGCCATCACGGCAATAAGTATGTTTACATTTGTATGTTTATCACAAATTTAATGTATCTCCCCACATAATTGCCCTCCGGAATGCGCGTCTTATAGTTCTCCGCGAATGAGCTCCTTGATATCCACGACGAGGAATCCTACCCCGGTAGAGACCAGTTTTGGAATGTTCTATGATACATTTGGTCTCACATAAGCTACTTGTCACTCACAATTGCCAGAGCCTGTAGCAGTGTCATTAGAGGGTATCGAAGATGTGCTGGTGGATGGCTCTGCACCAATCACTTGTTACTTGCCGACATTTATGGAAATCTCAATTGAAGTCCCTACTTGACTGTGAAGCATGAATTTTAGCTTGTTCTAAAATCAGGTATGATGTCGAGCCCTTATACTTGTGATAACTAACCAGTCATTCACACAAGATACTCCCACGAGGAAGACAATACAAGAACAGTTTGGCAATATGCGACATCGATGGTCTTTATTGATTTATTATCAAGTGAATTATAGAGACACAGTCCACCATATTCGCCGCGTAGATGGCTTGATCAGTAAGCGCATTTCGCAGCAGTCTTCCAGTTGAAGAGCTGACCACAGGACATCCAACATGATCAGTGATGTAAGAAGTTAAACGAGACCTCAATAAAGCTAACGCTAAAAGCTCTGGACAGAAAAGTCGATCGGGAGGAGAAATCATTTCCAGCTTTCTTTTGCGATCTAATACCCCATTGTACTTTGCTGTCGCACACCGGCATTAGGCGTGGGTCAGCAGAGAGTATTATCCAGGTTAGTAGACCAGCAACACTGCCCCGGTTCACCATGTCTTGACGTGGATACCAAGATATCGCACCCCTCGGATATTGAGCTACATTTGATGTTTGCATTGAAGTGGAAAATAGGATATAAAGTTCTACCCTAGGTGGGCTGCGTGTGCTCCGCACACGACCATTGCACTCTCATGTTCAAGTTTTTACATTCTCAGCTAGGTACGCTACCGGCTTTCCCTTCCGACAAAGCAGTCTAACAGACCACATAGGCCACTTCTTCATCTTAGCCACCTGCACAGCCTGCTGATAGATATGGTGCCGTCTCAGAAGCAGAGAGTAAGGCTTTGAGCGATCAGCAAACAATCGCAGACTTTCTCTTTCTCCGGCTCCTAGCTTCTCTACGGCCTTAATCGTTCGTTCCTGAGAGAATGCAAAAGACGTCCCAACAATCTTGAACCGCCGAGCCATTGGGTGAAGATGAGGAGAATGCCAGCCCTCGTCAGACCAAGAGGGTTTCGCATTCCAGGGCAGCCGTCTCTCCTTCTTGCATGCTCGCCACCATTCCTCGGTCGACAACCGGCCCTGCTCCCCACTAACTGCATGGACGCACCCACTCGTCCCCAGGGCCACATGGACCAATGTTCGATCCACCACTACATCAACCGGGACCTCATCGATCGTAGATTCTTGATCTGGGTTTTCGCATCGCGTTGAGAGCTTAATTCGACGACCTGAATGTAAGATATATGCCGCTGCACATGCTGTCGAAGGGGCTCCGTCTGAGGTCGCGAAACCGGGATATGGGAATTTATCGGCTGGTCCGAGGACGGAGGGTCTGATGATCAAGACTTTATCCATTCTGTTACGCTCAACTGCCTTCTGCAAGACTAGTCTTTCGGCTAGATGTTTTGCGTATGCATATGGCCATGGGAAATCATGGGCGTCGTATTCGTCCGACGAACCGGCTTTCTGTACTGCGCTCCATGCCTCAAGTGCGATTTTATAATAATCTTCCTCTTCCCTGCCGAGGGGATATATCCTCTCGTCGACTGACACGTCACTTGATTCATGGGTCTTCCATAGGTGGGCGTTGGCGTATGCGGTGGAGAAAAATACGTAGCGCTCGAGGTTGGGGAATTTGAGGGCATATTGAGTGAGACATATGCTTGGTGCCAGCACCGTATATGCTAATTCTCGCAGGGAACTATGTAGTTGGACTGATGATGCAGCGTGGAATACGATGTGTACTGTCCGTTTCAGCATTTGTATTGTTTCTTCCGATAAACTCATTGTCGCAGTATTTCCCAGTTCGCCGTCAAGAATAGTCAACCGCTCGTTTTCGGTGAGGATATTTGCGGCAGAGGGAGGAAGTATCATGGACCATTTTGCTTTCGCTTTACTGATATTTTGAGTCAGTAAGTCTTATCTTGACTTGTGTATACTTCGTCACTTACTCGGAGCCACCCCGACATAGCACATATACTCGTCTCGGTGATGACTGACTCAAAAGCCGACAAAGAAGGGCAGTTCCAATAAAGCCTGTACCCCCGGTAACGAATATAGTTTTTCCGTTATAGTAGTCCCATATCATGATGAATCTTGCGATTTCCAATGCGCGCCTTCATGGGTGAGATGGAAAAATGCAGGATGAGAGGGTGGATATCATACTTTAACCTTTACACCGCGGGCTTTGATGAATCTAGGGACATATTATAGAGCAGGTTTAGATAATCTGGTTAGTGGACCTTGTGGCTAGAAGCCCGATGGCGGCAACACCGATTTGGGGTGCATGCAGGCATGTAGCTGTACGGGGTATGATCGCACCAGATAGCGCCCCGGGACCAGCCACTCATACTTAGAATAGCGAAGCTAAAGGTATGAAGCTAGAGGTATGAAATTATAATTATCGTAGTGTATATTCCAAGTTTAAATGATAGGTGGGGGGACCCAGAGTGCAGTACAGAGTACGGAGTACCTTGATAGGCTAAAATACTGCGACGTAATCAATATGTTGATCTATCCGATATATCGAAACTACCAACTTGAATAAGACAAGGGGGTTGTTTAAGTTTGGCTGTAAATAAATGCACACCGCTTCATGTACCTAGTAAGCCATGTATCCCTATATTGAAAGATGCGTAAGACCACCTTGAGGCCGTCAATCTAATTCGTCACTTTCTTAGAGTCGAGATGCCAAACGGACCGCGATACATCTGCTTCCCGAAAACAATTATCTGCCGGGCCGAGCCCTAGATATCCAGGGCCGTTTCTGTTCTCACTCTAAAGCGAATGCATTGCTCGTTTTAGTACGAGGAGTCAAAATTAAATTATTTTTTTACGATGCAATTCTGTCCAAAACTACCTCCTATAAACTGATTGTCGGTCAAAATCACAATGTGATAGTGTGATGAACAGCAAGGAGAGGCGCATCTAGCGTAATGATGTCGGAGCATACAGACCGGCATACCGGGGATTTAATTAATCCAGGTTGTGCAGTAATTTTAAATTAGTAATCCGCTATCCATATAAATTGCTAGGAAAACGGATACTGCAATACAGAGATTTTAACACCATTGATTGGACCCATACATTTCAGGATACCATTGTATTTGACAAATGATGGCTGCCTGAGGCAGAACGGTCTCCATCCATCGGTTCATGACTTCCATAATTCTCTTGTACCGTCTAGCTGCTTTCTCATTTGGGCAATTTAAATATGTCAGCGAAGGGTTCTGTTTTATGGTAGGTATTCCGTACACCATCCAGACTAGAGTCAAAAGATCCACTGTGGGCCTATCATGCTCCGGCTCAAATGTGTCCCGACAAATTCCCGCGTTATCTAATAAGTTGCTATACTTGGCATGAAAAGGATTCGGTCCATTTCCATAAAGAACTTCATGTAGCTCGCTGTCCAGCCAGATGCCTAATCATGCCCGGTGCATCCCGCCTGCTGTATCAATAATGAGTTTGGGTCTTGATACGTTGTCGCGCTGACTCCAGCATGATTTATCACGTATATCAGTGAGCAAGCTATGCATATCGCCATCAAGAATTCCGAGAAAACTCAATTTGATGGAACATACAGTCTTCGGGAGTGCATCGAGAAAATATATCAAGTCATTTCTTGTTCAGGAAATTTGACCGCGTGAAGTAACAGAATTTTAGCCACTCCTCCATAGCGAATATAGTCTTTAGTGGCACGAAATAGGTGGAATTTTCCTTGGTGTGAAGTATGATGTTAGTCGTGACTGCTGCTTACGGGCGATCAAATGTGCCATCTGTTCATGACCCTCTCGTTGGATAATATTGTCCGGCAACATTTAAGTTATCCAAAGGTCAAATGCCTGATTTTGTGGAATTAAGCCGGAATATATCTGGTTTTCACTTTATTTGAGACCGGTATAAATGAGAACACCTGAATTACTATAATCGATATAAGGTAACATCAAATTACAAGTAATATCAAAGTGGAGAATCAGATTTAGGCCTGTATATGCCGTAGGAATATATACCTATAGCAATGAAGACATTGGTGAAGAGGCACCTTACGGAGTATATAGGCGAAGAAATAAGAGATCGAAATCGTGTAGGCCTCGAAAAGGCGGTGATAACAGCGAGTATATAGCGGTGAGGTAGCCATACAATGAGAGGGTTATGAATAGATAGCGCACTTAGTCGCCCGTAGTAAGTTGGGACAGAGGCTAAGATGCCATGCAGAGATAGTGCTTTTCTTGTCAAATACAACAAATGTATGAACAAAGCTGCCAGAATAGTTGTTTGCACCCGCCCTTCACTAGTCACCGTGAAGTTGCTTGCTTAGGTCTTTGCGCGGCTCATCTCTGTCGCACGATAAACCAGAGCATCCATTTATCATAGAATCTTCGAGCTGTGCAATAGCTCCAACAAAAGATTTTCATAAGCTGATCCTTCGCCTTCACATCATATAAATGACAATCCACACCGTGTGCGTGACATGTAGCGCCTTTGATAACTGTTCACTCAATCTTGAAAACAAACAAATATATATAACACGCAAAATCCGAAATCATATAGTACACATGTTTACAGGCCAATCAGCGTGTTCTCATTTCGCACATTCGGTTGAATGTTTCTTCGTCATTAGTTTATGCAGTGTTTCTGCATTAAGCCGCTCTTTGAATTTCGGGGCCAGCAAACCTTTCACGACCCAGGTGATTGATTCCTCTTCGTCATTTAGCTTTGACCGAGCAGTTTTAACCTGATTAACCCACCGGCTCATTCTTTCCATTGCATTTGTATGAGATCTTGATCCGATTGAGGACGTATGTATGTCTGCAATCAACCAGCTAGTCGTCTTTTCGGGTAAAGGGATGCGACCTAACAGCCACAGCATAACGACTCCCAAGGCCCATAAATCAGAAGGCGGGCCGCGTGTGCGCCAGTTAAACATGAATTCGGGTGCCAGATACCATGGTGAGCCGCCAGTCGCGGTGGGGCGACCAGCCGTGAAGCTACGACCAAAGTCGATCAAAACACCACCCCGAGCGGGGCTATACAGAATATTAGCTGGTTTGATATCGTTGTGAACAATTTTGCTGCTATGTAGAAAGTCGAGTGCTGAGGCCATGTCACCCAGTATCCTCTGCGCATCTGAAGTACTCCCGGTGAAACTATCGTTCCCTGGCTGTCGGAAACATACTAGCGATTGGGCGTCAATATGCTCAGTATATATACTTTGGAATCGAGCGTCAGAGCCGAGCATGCTGAGTATCGCCGACTGGTGGGGAGGTTAGCTTTGGAACAAAACGAACAGAAAGACACTCCATACATGACTCCCAAGAGAAGAGTGAATCTCCGACTCACGTGCCCAAGACTCAAGAGCCTGGATTGTGTGATTCTCATTTGTGCTAATGGATTTGATGACTTTAACGACAATCCTCTTTCCTGGTATATCCGAGTGGTCTGCCTGCCATACAGACGAATTCGGTTGCTCCGCAATAGCTTCGTGTCGCGTAAGCCGATACCCTTTGCCACCAGCCCCAATATACATAGTGTCGCCTTGCGCAAGATTCACAAGCACGTTCCCAGCTGAAACAGCCTGTAGACTGCGTGAGGGTTCAGAAATGCGGTATGTGGATTCTCGGAGTTTTGCCCTCTTTGAGGGTGGAGGCGAGGAGGTCGGTGCAGGTCGCTTGGTAGCCAGTCGTGCAAAGATCATCCATTCTGTCCGTGGAAGGAGCTCAAACTCAATGACAGTCCTATCTTCGATGTAAATGGCCCAGCAGCCTGTGTAGAAAGCGGCGCTCTGGCTAGGCTGAACTTCCACCGAGTCCTCATCGAGCCGCCTGCCGATGATTGCATGCGAACAGTCATTCAGGAGAATGAGACGATCCTGTGCGGGATCAAAGTACAAGTGAAATATCACATCTTCATAGGTAACGGTGCATCCGAGCTGCTTGGCGCTAGGGGCCACGACGAGGACTTTGACTGATTCAGTTTCCTCTGAGCTGTCGCCCATTTCAACGTCAACCCACTTATCGTAGCCTCCGGTCCCACCATATGAAGAGACCTGTAATTCTGGGATCCTGGGGTACAATAATATTCTGGCAGTCGGATCTTGAGACTTGACCGAGTCTAGACGTAGCTTGCTGAAATCCAGATCGGAAGATTGCTTCTCGCTCGCTTCAAGGGATGTAGGCGACAACGGCTGAGTGGGTTCGTCCGAATCGAGATCCGATACCGTCAATTTTAGCGTAGCCACTTCATCCTGAGTGTACACTTCTCTGCACTCCTTACTATGGTCTGTCTTCTCGCTCGCTTCAAGGGATGGAGGCGACAACGGCTGAGTGGGTTCGTCCGAATCGAGATCCGATACCGTCAATTGTAGCGTAGCCACTTCATCCTCAGTGCACACTTCTCTGTGCTCTTTACTCTGGCCTTTCTTACTCAAATCTTGTTTGGACTGGGAATTGAGTGGCATCACGGGAACCAAACATACGTTGCTTGTTATCAGTGTACGTGTCTCTCCTAAGAAAATCAATAATACTCATTCGTATATATATCCTTCTATCCCCAAGTCAACCGAGCCGCCAGCGGAACGCCCATGCAAAAAACTAGGGGCCATTTGCTGCCCAAGTTGCCGCCGGCCATTGCACATGAGTTTGAGATTAAGAGCGCTATGCACTGTAGTAATGGATCCGACTTTAGATTGGCTTAGGCCCGTGCCCAAAGCGCGAGAATTGGTAAAAATAGAAATCCTAAGGTTGTAGCCAATGATCCAAGACATCTGTTGACTTCTGCCATGCCAATGTGATTAGGCGGCAGTTATTCACCGCCTCCTTGGCGTCGGGTGCTGTCAGGGGCCCGCCCTGGGGTAATTCGTGGCCTATAACAATAGCTAATATTAGTAGTTGAGGGGAACTATCTTTCCTATCTTCCTCCATGGACGACTGGTGGCATCGGACATCAGATGCTCATCTCGAAGCTCATACTCCTCTGGATGAGTGGAAATGGGATTATAAGAAATTCGGCTACAAGAATTCCGACGCTCTGTTTACCACACTACATGCGGAATACAACACCCTCAAATGCGCAATTCAAGACCCATACGCTTGGCATAGCGACGTCAGGGAGATTGCAAGAGCTGCCAGCACTAAGGATGAATTCTTAACTCGGCTCAAAAAGAGACAAAGAGAGAGGTTTGATGAGCTCCAAGAAGCCTGGGAGACGACTAAAGCGTTGTTGACCGCCGAGCCCGACCGCTTGGATAATCCGCCGCCTAGGGCTATCTTATGGAGTTCTTTTATACAAATTGCTCGAAATTACTCATACGATTCCCTCCTCGCATACTTTGGCTCCTACGTAATTGACGAAACTGTCGAAACTGAAGACCGAACCGCTACTTCGCCTCTACCATCAACCCACATCAAGACCCGTTCCACCAAAACTCCGCAGCCAAAAAGGAAAGCAAAAGGGAAAATGGCAACGTCATCCGGGGTGGCCAAGCCCTCGCCCAGGCCCTCGAAATCGAAGTATGAACAGGACAGCAGTGGGCAGAGTGTTGTGCGGAGAAGTATCCGGTTGCGACAACGTGCTCAACAAGCCAGGCAGTAATGCGCAGGGCTCACTGTTGTAGTTGGAAAGCTTGGCAAGATAAGGGACTATATGCTTGCTTTCAATCCTGAATTCAGTGGGCTACTACAACTATCTCCAGGAACTGCCTATCCTCCCATTGCATTAGGCAAGGCGTATGTACATCTACCATGCCCCGGTGTGCTGGCTGTGCATTTGACAAGGAATCGACTTGGAGGCTGGCTTCACTCTCATTGCAAAATACTTGATTTACAACTATGAGGCGAACTGATCACATACAACCTCCCAGCCACCACACCTTCCAACCCACCCTGGAAGTGCACTTGATAATACTGTGCGTTGTCTCTGACCTTCTCTAGATCATGAGTAACTGGGCCGTTTTTCTTGTTTCTCCCTCAGCAATTACATACATACGTTTACACTGTATCCATCATGAACATCTGTGTACTTTAAATTGTCCGTTGACATAGTTATGACATGAAAAGACAGCAGATATTGGACTCAATGCTTTTTGCCTAATAATAACACAATAACACAACCTTTTCAAGATTATTGGGACATCGTTTGCATTCTCTCAGGAACGGACGATTAAGGCCGTAGAGAAACTAGGGTCTGGAGAAAGGGAAAGTCTTCAATTGTTTGCTGATTGCTTCAAACCTTACTCTATGCGTTTAAGACGACACCATATTTATCATCAGGCTGTGCAGGTGGCTAAGACGAAGAAATGGCCTGTGTGGTCTGTTAGACTGCTCTGTCGGAAGGGAAAGCCTGTGGCATGCCTTCATGAGAATGTGAAGGCTTGAACTTGAATTGAGTGACTCGACATGTTGTGCATAGCTCTGTTGGGCAGAATCCTGCTTCTTCACAGATTTGATTTACACGACTAGCCAGTGTTCTGTCCCCGGAACATATTACTCCTTCATTCACCGGATAGTGGTAGAGAAGAGACTAAAAGCCCTCAGCCTCAACAACCCTGGGGCCTCGGTTGACCCATTGTTGTGTAGTGATTCCGAGGATCTAGGGGCAATATTGCTATCCGAGATAGGGAGTGAAAGCTTTGGTACCACCCCTGCTTTGTCTCTTAGACGCCCAAGAGCGAACTCTTCAATTGCTGCACTTGCTGCACCATTCGCGCAAGGGAATTCGGATCCCCAATTGACATCCCATACGGTTCGGGCCGAGCCTCTGACACTCGCGTAATCAAAGTAGTTTGATCCTTTGCAGAAGAGTCTTGCTAACCCCCAGAAAGTTCCCAGGCGGGAGAATATCATCAAGGAAATTCGCCCGTGTAGAGAAACATCGCCCGAAGTGAAGTGTAATCATCTTGGGGACTAGTGAGATGACACGCTAGCGGAACCAAAGAGGCCCATTCGGATATTATTTCCAGGACTAACAAAATGAGCCCGGCGCCAAAAGACCAATGTTTGTTCGTGAAAACGCTGATCTAATCTAGACGGGGCTGAAAATGAGCTGTTTATAGCTGATGATCTGGGATCATTCTTTAAAAGGCAACAATGTATGCATTCCGGCGACAATATTGCAATTCGATTGGGTGTTCACTGTTGGTGATGCAGCGTAGACGGGGGCGGAGTACTTTGGCGCCCCCGTAGACCGCTGCAAGGCTGACAAGGGTGAGTCGTCGTAACTTGTGCTCGCAATTTCGATGTGACAGAAATTCCATCAACCCAAGTTTTCAGGTTTCATCAGACGGCCTGCATCTCCGATCTACTGTATCACCAATCTCCCGCATGCCAGCTTCGCGTTTTTGATGCAGCCCTGCGATTTTCACGCTATTCCTGCATTTATGAAGCTGCAATCAGGAAGTTCATTCCATGTGGTATTTCGCCTAAAATTACGAGTTTCTATTCGCAGTTACCCCACTTCGATTCGGGATCTTTTCAGGGGAAATGGAGAGTGTACAAATATGGACTTAATCTCTAGATCGAAAGATTAGGTCTCTTTTACCATATAATCCTCAGCATAAAACATTGCCATTTCCCTTTCAATTACACGATACATGCTTTATAGACCTGATATTTTTCAGTATCAAGCCCGCGCCCGTCGACCTGAGGCTAATGCACGATGAGGTTTCTCCACACCGAATCGTACAGGCTCTATGAACAGGCAGAGCTTCCATATCATGGAAGCCCGCTCCCACAATACGCTATCTTGTCACACACATGGCTTCCGGAGCATTCAAATGGCGTTCAGGAAGTCACCTATCAAGATATGAAGTCTTCCTACGCCAAGTTGACTAGTGGCCGGTTCAAACCTGATGGTTGGAAGAAGCTGAAGAATTATTGTGATTTTGCTAGAGAGAATGGCTGGGAATGGGCTTGGATGGATACCTGTTGCATCGACAAAACAGATGCCGTGAATACACAAGAAGCTATCAATGCCATGTTTCGCTGGTATAAGGAATCCATGATTTGCTATGCGTACCTTGACGATGTGGACGTAAGAAAGACAAAATCTCTCGAGACCTCCTTCACTCACGCGAAGTGGTTTACGAGGGGGTGGACACTTCAAGAGCTCATAGCTCCGACGTCTCTACTGTTTGTTGACAAGAATTGGGTGGAAATCATCGACAAAATCAACGGTCAGGAACAAATTGAAAGGGCTACAGGCATCCAACCCGAGAAATTGCGAACATTTGAAAAGTGTTCTATCTGGGAACGCTTCTCTTGGGCTTCACGGAGACGAACAACCTTAGTAGAAGACAGGGCTTATTCTCTTTTGGGGCTCTTTGGGATCAACATGCCCCTGATATACGGCGAGGGTGAACGGGCGTTTTTGCGATTACAGCATGAGCTTATAAAAACGCACGATGATGCAAGTATTTTACTCTGGGGGGCACACAGTGAGGTTTCCTTTTTCCTTCCTTTTGAAGATCAAGAGCCCTTGCCACTTCAATAACTAACGCCTATCATAGACTACAATGAAGAGAATATCATTCCACGACGGCTGGGTGTTCTAGCTCCCTCTGTCTCTTGTTTCCAAATCCAATCCGGCAACCACACAATATCGGAGAGACTACCGGGGCGCAATCTCTCGATATCTGCGAAGGGCTTACATGTGGATGTCGACTTGATGATCCTTAAATCAGATAGACGCGGTAAAAGTCAGGGTTTGTGTTGAATGGAAGAAATTAGAAGCAGTTGAGCTAAGAGTACCTTCTTGCAGATAATTGGCGCCGTTGTGCCCTCTTCCTTGCAGGAATAGGCAGAAGAAATACTTTCTCCTCTCAATATGCAATTTTCTTGATGCATATGGACTCGTTTCACAACTCTGGCTACTCTTTCGAAAGAATGGGACATCTATGCCCTATAGCAGACAATACGTCTTGCTGGAATAGTGCCAGCACTGGTTTTACTACCCTGGGTCGGCAATCGATCGTTATAAAGGAAGGGTTTGATCTTCCTATTCAGGCCTCTTTTCTACGGTTGAGTCCTCCTCCTACAGGCTTCAAGGTCCTAGCAAAATCCTGTGGAATGATTGGATCCAGATCATCAAACTATGATCCAGAACTGTCATTTAAAGCCTTTCGTTTCCGTATTTCAGATGCGCATAGTATCTTTCGGTGCGATGTGCCTGGCGCGCAGAAGGGAGAATATTTTATCACTTCCGGAACAACCGCACTCCTTCATCGGAACTTTGATCCTGGTCGGGATAGTCAATGGAGAGTCCAGATGCAGTATGGTGCAAACGAAACATTTGAAGTACTATTGGGCACGTCCCTTCTCAACCCAGATGCTCTCTTGCTTGCCCCTGGACAATTGCCTTCCCGCCAAATATGCTTGGAAGGTTCGTCAGGCACAGTCTCCCTCAAAATACGCCCAAGGGCGGCGGTCGCAGGTCGCTATGTTCATGTAAAGCACGTTGATGCGTTCCTGGATAGTATGGATCCTAAAATTCGCTTGAAGACTAAGCTTTTAGCGGAAGGATTTTCCGTTGGACCTATTTCACCCAGGGAGTATGATGTTATTCTCGAACACGTGCCTAAAGAGGACCGCTCGAAGAAAAGGAAGCGTAAAAAGTGACGTGAGATTTACTATGTCTTTATTGTCAATTATCATGGCACTCATTACCATCTCTTGTCAATCTAGGACTACGAATTGAGTACACGCAGCAGTTCTCTTGCTTTCAAGGCTGTCTTAGCCATCAGCCCATTACAATCTTTGTACATTAGATCGTTAGACTATTAGACTGGTGGGACTGTTGGCGTAATAAGTGTCTTGACCGATAGTAAAAAAACAAAAGTTTAGGTACTCTACAGTTCAAGTGAAAAATGATTGGTTCATAACCCTCAGCATTTTGTTTCGATGTGAGGTGGCAAGTGGGAAGGATAGATGACATCAAAAGGAGAGGCGCAGTCATTCGCTTGAGTCTTAAAAGTGAACAGATCGGCCAATTACTTGATAGAAGATCATTTCTCTAGACTGGCTCATATTCTCCACGGCCAAAGACCGAGTATAAGCCGCAGACCTGTATAGATCTACTTAGGTAACCTTGGCGCCCTGCGCACGGACCCGATCGCGGGGGAAAAAGAAATTCTTCGCCGCCACAAGTCATAGGCCTAAACAACACACCATGGCTCCGACGGCGTGTTTCAATTGCAAAGAGGCGCGCGCCGTCATCATCCGACCTAAGAATAGGCACAAACTCTGCCGAGCCTGTTTCGTCAATATTTTCGAGACCGAAGTACACGAAACCATCATTGGCACCAACCTCTTCTTCCCTGGCGAGCGAGTAGCGATCGGAGCCAGCGGCGGCAAAGACAGCACAGTACTAGCAGCAGTACTGAAAACTCTCAACGAGCGATACAATTACGGGCTGGATCTATGTCTACTGTCCATCGACGAGGGCATCCGCGGCTATCGCGATGACAGTCTTGAGACTGTGAAGCGCAATGCCGTGCAATACGAGATGCCGCTTGATATTCTTGGATACAGCGAGCTATATGGCTGGACGATGGATCAGGTTGTGGAGCAAGTGGGCAAGAAGGGCAACTGCACCTACTGCGGAGTGTTCCGGCGACAAGCGCTCGACCGGGGCGCAGCCCGCTTGGGTATCAAACACGTTGTCACAGGTCACAACGCGGACGATGTTGCGGAGACTGTCATGATGAACCTGTTGCGTGGTGACTTGCCCCGTCTGTCACGCGGTACCAGTATCGTCACCAGCTCCGACGCTTCGGATATCAAGCGCAGCAAGCCTCTCAAGTACGCCTATGAAAAGGAGATCGTCCTCTACGCCCACCACCGTCAGCTCGATTACTTCACTACTGAATGTATCTACTCGCCCGAGGCATTCCGCGGCAGTGCTCGTACCCTGATCAAGGATCTTGAGAAAATTCGACCCAGTTCGATCCTGGATATTGTCAAAAGTGGCGAGGACATGGCCGCGCTTGTGCCGGTTGAAGTCCGGGGTGCAGGCAAATCCAAGCAACTTGCGGAGGAGGAATCGGCTGGTGGTTGTGGTAGTCAGAACGGCCGAACCAGCGGCGGGGAGATGGCTGCAATGGAGGCGCAACTCGCTGAAAACGAAGAAGCCGAGTCGCTCGAGACTGAAATCAAGTTTCATAACGGTTCGCGCGTGAAGGCGAATCGCGGCCCGACTGGTAAGGCGGTCAAGGCGCAGACTATCAAACACTGCGAGCGTTGTAACTACATTTCCAGTCAGCGCATTTGCAAAGCCTGCACCCTGCTAGACGGTCTGAACCGGAACCGACCCAAGACTGCGATCGAAGTTGGTGTTGGCATGGAAGACGAAGAAAGCAGTTCGACTTTGATGAGACAAATGGAGCGCGCCCAACTCAGCGCGACCTGAAGAGTCAATAAGGAAAGCACTCTATTCAAAAGCCCAACCTCCAGCGTCAGCACCAGCGGCGTCGTGACTCTGCGGCATTTCCACCATACCCCTTTTCTGGGCCGTCAACCTTTGCAACACAATTAAACCCAGTGTCGGCATTAGGTGTCCATTCTCGGTGCCCCCAAACACTGTGCGGCAATCCATGTGGTTCGCAGTGAACAAGTTTTCAGATCAGGAGGATCTCAATATCTGATACCCCAAGTTACGACTAGACCATCAGTCCAATGCATAGCATAGTGAAACTCTCCAAAGAAAAACAACTCTATGCCACTTTCCGATGCTTTTTATTTTGTACATGAACCGTAGTATACAAATTCCAAATATCAACAATTAAAACGCCATGCCATCGAATCCATGCATCCCAACAAAGTTTTACTATCTGCACAGACAACAGAAAACCAAGCCAAGCCCAATCCACCTCTACCGTAGGGTGATTGTCTATCGACGGTAATCGAAGCCAAGGGAGAACAAATCAAGCAAAGCTAATCAATCGCATCCAAGCTCATCTATTCCTTCCCCTCAGCAGTATGCAACTCAGGCAAATCAAATCCAACCCGTCTAGCCGTAAGACGAATCTTTTCTTCCTCAGTCATGCCCATGCCAGGGTTATAGCGCTCTAGGAGCTCACAGTAGACACGCTGGGCGCGGGCATACTGCGCGAGCTGGTCTGCTTCTTGAAGGCGGAGGGTGCGTTCTTCGTCTGTTTTCGGGATTGAGAAGGGGAGTGCGTTAGATTGCGATTGAGACTGCAATGAAGATGTCGCAGGTTCCGAGCGAAAGATCCCGCGCAGGTTTTGGTGAAGTGGGGACGGGGTCTTGAGGCCGCGGCGTGGGAGTTCGCGGAGGAGGGCGCGGTAGGTTGTGCGCGCTTGCATGCCTGCGGACATTTTTTCAAATTTTTGGAGCCTTGTAGCCCGGGAGTTTGAATCGATGGGGTTGTTTCGGTGGTTTCGAGACCCTTGTGCACTAAGGAGTGGAGGTGAGTTTGTCGGTGTCTTGAAGCTGGGCGGAGGTTGAGATAGCCGGGTGGATAAGCTTCACGTGATTTGAAGTGTATGCGGCGTCCGCTACTAGTTCAAGTGGGTATCATCTCAGTGATTTGATGATTTTTAATGTTTCTATGTCACTACGATCCTATTTGATGGATGGATGATACAAGGGAAAACATATATTAGCATGTCAATATATACCAGGGTATGGTCCTATCTGCAAGACAGTCAATGAACACTACTACCCACACCTCAGCAGGCATATGTACAAAATGTCGTAGCGGGGCGTATTTTTCAAGATGTATCACCGTTACAAGTGTCATATCGACCCCCACAGGGAACCGAGTTCATAACGAAAAGCAGGCAAAAGACAACAACAGTGTTTATCAATCATATAGGGGCATGGCGACATGAGAAAGGAAGAGGAGGAGTAGGCAGGGAAGGTAGAGAGGGAGAAAGGCAAGGGTGAAGATGATAGATGAGATGGCTTTTTGGAAGAGCAGCCTCAATTCGTGTTGAGACTTATGGAGATGAGTGCCCTAGATCGCTAGAGGCGTGGCCAGAAAAATGACTGAGCTTAAGAGCGCAGCCAGCCAAACTTCCTTCGTCCCTCAGCTCCCGTGGACGGTTCGACGTGCAAGCTACGGGCATACAAGTCCTAGACAAGGTTAGTAAAAAGAGCAATTATTCAGGGTTATAAAGATATTACCTCTTCGTCTCCAGAGAGCTTCGTGTCCAGGATCAGTCGTTCGACATCATCAAACTTCTGAGCCTGGGGATGAGGACTCTTCTGGCTTCGTTGGACGCCAAGAACGACCTCGCCCATGACCTCGAATTTCTTCCAGTTGATCCGAGATTTATTCTCGCCGATAAATGTCTTGTTGCCTTCTTCGGCAGAGACAAGGTCGCGACGGTGAAGAGGTAGGAATGGGATTCGCTCGGAGAATGAATTCTCCCAGGCAAGGCGATATGCAAAGTGGCTTCTTTGGGTGCTCATGAGGATGACAAGACGCATAAACTCTTTCTGAGCTGGGATGGGAATCAGGTCTCGAGTTTGGGTGAGGCGGTGGACAGGGGTGCCGTTGATGGCGGCGATTACAGCACCCAAGGAGTTATAGTTGTTTTGGCGTCGAAGTTTCTAGCAAGAGAGGTTAGTTGCTGGCTTCGTAGTAGCTAGATTCATAGGACATACCACTGCGATGTTCATGAACTTCTCTAGCGCCTGGGCTCTATGCTTAGGCTTGTCGCGCAAGAGAATCAAGCTGGCTACGAAGAAGGCCAGATGATTGAATTGCTTAATCATCCGATTAACGTTCGTCAAGCTCTTCACCTTATCCTTGTCTATGCCCGAGAGACTGACGTGACGCACAAGATCACGGGGTCGGAATGAGTTGTACATGATCCAGTCAATCCGTGTCAGTTCTCGTGCGAACTCCTCCTCTGGGGTATCCATGAAAACCCGCCAGTGAAGTTTGTTCAGTGAAATCTTGTTTGTTAATTCAAGACGCAAAGCCTCTTTTTGGGCTGCTTCAAGGCTCAACAACGTAAATGACTGGCTGGTGATACTATTGGGTTTGTCGGTATTCGAGGAGACCGAAAGAGTGCCTGAGAGCCGTGATGTCGAATCATGCGGCCCAGTACTGAGATCCAGCGCACTCATACTATAGATGGGGTCTTGTTCTTCTTCGGTATCGTAAGTGTTGGTGCCAGAGTCAGCGCCTATGTGAGCCGCGGCTGGGGAACTTCGACCGGAATTGTCGAAAAATGTCTCAACCAATTGCGACTCATCGGAATCACCGTCATCTCCGTATGCCCAACCAAGATCATCGTCTTCTGCATTTGAGTCTAATTGCGACCCGATCTCTTTGGCAGCGAACATGTAGAAATGGCTCTTTTCGAGTATAGCGACAAACTCAATGATCCGTTTGCGAAGTTTGGGATGAGCGAAATCTCCGGGATAGTCCGATGCCCATTGAGCCATGACATCAAGCAACCGCAGTTGATCCGCCATGCGAGCCAGTTGATCGTCGTTGCTCATCTCGTTTCGTTCGAAGCGGCTTATCAAGGCACTTAGGAGACTTGCAGGGGCGGCGAATTTCCTATACAGACATAGGAATATAGAGCGAAACTTTTGATCTTGTTTCGACATTGGCAAGGAAATCAAACGATCCACTAGCTCATCGAACGATAGACCCGTCTCTGCGCTCGAGTTGCTCTCGCTGCTCGGCTTTGGCCTTACAACTGCGTCAGGGCTCGGGGGCCGGCTCTGCCCATCGTCTACCTCGTCGTCCATGTTTAAGAAACTGTTAAAAGCGTCTGATCCTCCACTGTGTCGCCAAGCGGTATGCAATCGTTGCTGCCGGCTCTCGTGATTTGGGGAGTCTTGTTCTTGTGCTGACGGCATGCGGGTATTTAAACGCGCTCCGGATGGCGGAGTTTGCGGTCGCACCGGTTGCGAATTACTGCGGGCATAACGGTGGGAATTCGCCGTATGCTGCGAATAGTCTCCGTCGGTTGCGAGACGGTTCTCACCATCCCCATCGACACATTGATCTGAGGCCGTTCCGGCTGTGAACGATGGATTTTCCGAGTTGGCACGAGTATGCCAATTTTGAACAGGTTTAGGTGATCTCGGTGAAGTAATATGAGAAGAAAGATCTAAAAATGAAGAGAGGGGTTAGTTAGGGGAAAAGCAAAAAAAGCTATGGGGAACAAGTAGCGAACGCTCCTACCGCGACCCACCTTGGCCCGCTTCCGCTTGGGGGTCAAGGCACTTTCAACCCGACAATGGTCTTGTCCCGAATGAAAAAGGAAAAAAAGCACTAAATTAAAAAAAAAAAGAGTGCTCACCTTCTCGTGTAGAAATCACTCCTCCCAAAACTAAAGCTATACACATACGTTGAGATCGAGGTGACGAAAACGATGTTCGATAGATCTCATATCGATCATGGATTGCATCCACTTCACTCCCTTCCAAAGGTTCGGGGTTGACATCGCATTTGCAGGCAACCTGCAAGAAAGGGAGATCCGAGGCAGCCAATGATTCTAAATTCCGGGAAAGATCAGTTCCCCAATACCAAGTACATCCAGTTTAAACGGAAACCTACCAATGAGGTTCGTTGTTAAAGATAGTCGATCCGGCTGGGTGGCATCATGTAGAACCAGAACCCCATCAATGACTGGTGCAGATTTGCCTTGTCCTGTACGCGGCCAGATGATCTTCTTGTCTTGGTCGAATTGAACCTGTGTCAAGTCGACCTCCATCAGATGCACAATGTAGACCGATCCGTTCAATGACATTTTCTTCTTGTTCATATTGGAAGCAGGCAGGTTCTTCATATCCAGCGCACATTTGACAAAGCTGCTCTTGCCGGCATTTTCTTCGCCGGCGACCGCAATCGTCACTTCGGGGAAACCGCCCTTGGGAGATTCCTATAGTAGGCAATAAAGGAACCATCAGCAATTGGAGCTCTTGATTTACCGTAGCCATATCCCACCCGAGATTCAGAATCAATTGAAGACATACCTCCCCCTGCTGACGAGCTCCTGTGCGCTTCATCGGTTCGCCTGTAATTGGCGACCCCTCATCCTCTTCCACCAACGTGGATTCAGATTTCGTGCCAACTCCTGGCTTCTGCACCAGATCGAGTTTATAAATGCCTCCTGGAGCTGAAGAAGTGCGACCTCCCATCCCTGGTCGTGGCGGAGCTGTAGCCATTGCCTGAGCTTTGTCACTGTGAGCTCTTTCTCGGCGGGTCTGCGAGATCATGACGGAAGCGGTCGGCAATGAGGCCGAATGGATTCGGTGTGACAGCGCTCTGATTACTGTGTAAGTTCAGAGAACGAGCACAGCACGTCCATCGTTGGGATCAAGTTCGGTGGAGTGAGGCAGCCATCCGAGGTGTTATCGGGAGTTGACTTGAAAACTACCCTGATTACCCGGACCTGCGTCGGATATCTTCTGGTCTTGGCGGGGAGAACCTTGAAAATTAGAAAGCACTATGGACAGATCACAAAGAGTTCCACGATTGGAGAAAATTGGGGATTATGGAATTGGTCCGAGATCCTCTTTTTTTTTGATGGGATTCTCGCATATTATTGGAAGCCCACTAAGAGATCTTCGTGTTCGTGAAAGCGGCTCAGCTGAATTAAACACATGGGCCAACTGGAACCGAGGCTGGGGTTTAGGACGATCTCGCTTAGACGACAAGTTTACAAAAGAACGTTCCTTACTTAGTTCTTAGTGCTTAGGATTTGTTGAGCTGCAGTAGCTGCGTTGACTGCCGGTCACCCCCCTGCTCCCGGAAACAAAGGGCTGTTTGTCTTTACGATCCTACAACTAGGTCCTTTACGGTAAATAGAGTACTGCTTATACTGCTCTAGTTTCGTCTCGAGATGCTCCATGTGACCAGTCAGAAACATACAGATTCTGATTTTTCAGTACTTTTGTACAGGGATCTCGGTCTGTGAAGTTCTGGGCCGTTGACATATGCTCCGCTTTATTGGGGGCGCTAAAAGCGCCCCTAATCTGACACTATACTGGACTTCGGCTGCTGGTCTTGGCTCGCATGATAGCGTTGTATAGCGTATGTGGTGCGATATTGCACTTTACGAAAACTACCCACTGTAGGGCCAGTGCTCGGCGCTTTAATATATAGACTAGGATGTGGGTTAACCAGCGGCCCTGAGAGCTGGCGGAGATAGCATACAATACAGAATCATACATAAAACAAAGGAGGCCCGGGTATTCATGAATTGCATAAGGCTGAATATGGCTGAAGCTGTCAGATCTGACAGCTACTCTATCAGAACAGTCAAAGTAGATCAAAAGCCGCCACCCACCATCTCATAGACTCAATCTGCATGTCTCACTTGCACGGACTCAGCCTATAAATATGGTGCAATCAAGGTATATATGCCGACCCTCCAATTCGAATGCGACTGGTGTTCACCGGAAGAGAATATAGACGACTCAGGCTGAGTCCTTGCCCTTCACAAGCGCCATAAACCGCATGAACGCCTCGGCGACCTGGCCAGTCTCCGTCCCTTCTTCACAGTCCTGTCTCAGTTTCCGGACTCTGCCCAGGCCGCGGTTGAAGCCTTTCTCGGACGTCCATGGGCCCCGGCTACGAGGAGCGAGCCCTCCACGACCTCGCCCCCGTCCACGTCCACGCCCTCGTGCGGGGGCTGTGTATGATTCAACCCATTCCTCTTCCAGCGTCGACTGATACATATCTTGTAGCTGACTGCGGAGTTCCGGGTACTGACTGAGGAGCTCTTTCATCTCTGAAGATGCCCCCACTGCTGCGGGTGTGGTCGCGGAAGCGTTGGTGCCAGTTGGCTCTGCAGATGCAGAGCCGTTGGTAGCGTTCTCGGGTGTTGGATCGACATCGGGCGCTGGGGTGTTACTCGGTTCCTCATTCGATGGTGCTTTCGGAGCACAATATATCTTATGTGACTGGGTGCATGCAAGTGAGCAACTAAATGGATAACTCTTAGCAACTGGTCCACGTATGGATAGGGGTGGAATCGTAATCGAGTCAGTACCTCAACAGTGCGCATGTGGGACAGCGATATTTGGAAGGCTCTAAAGAGCAAACCTCACAAGAACCAGGCATTGTGTCGATTTCCCAATGGATCCATCAGCTACACAGCGATCAAACTTGCTCCCTCATTTTGATTAGTCCGCGTCCTGGAGAATGATGCAGGATAAGGCTAGGAAAGTTGAGCTACCCGATTTGCATGATTTGCATGAAAAACTAAGAAGCTCGGGTCATCTGTTTCTGCCTCAGGCACCAGCTATATGGGACATGCGTGGCAAGAGACTCCATAAATAAGTGACGTGCCATGTTTTACGTCGAAAAGCTGCAGAATATTTGCCGAAAGGATAAATAGGATGTCGGAATTTTTTTTCTCGAGGGACTCAGTTGGAGCCTGATCGCCTACGTCCAAGATCCAAACCCTGTCTAGTGTGACGAAACAAAGCCAGAATGTACGCGATACATCAACAACGGCCACGTTTGCACCGGATACGCAAGGGATCGTGTCTTTATCCACCATTCGGAGAGCCAGAGCATGACATACACGTACAATAGCCACGACAATCACTTGCGGGGATATCAACCTGGCCATACGGTGTACTAGGTGGACCCTGATCTCCTCGATTCGGTGTCAAGTCCGGTGCAAATTCTGTTTGTTGCAAAGCTCTAGTTGCCTTTCAGTTCATATCCACAGGTTGTTTCATAACTTGTCGCGATAATGTTGGTGCCCATCTGCAAGACACGGCTCCTTTGTCCATTTTGTTGCGAGCAGTTCCACCCTCAATACTGGATTCGACTCATCAAGTATTGATGGGTCCACGTATCCCATCTCGTTTGACATTCCACCGCTGTAAATGTCATCCAGGCCCCACTACAACTTGCGCTAGACAAAAGGGCTACTTCTTTCATATCGGCATTTCTGGCAAGGCCAATTGAGAATTATGAGTTCCTAGTCGCAAAGCCAGGATCTGTCAATGTGAAAATTTGGCGAGGACTCGCTTTTTGCAATTTTTCCTACTCAATACCACGAGATCTTGTCTACTTCATCTCGAGCAGTTGCTGACAGATTGACCGGTTGATCGATGGCTCGGGTTCGGAGTGCAACTGGCCCATGCAAAGGGAAGTAGTGCGATTCTTGTCCTGAGAGTACCCTGTCCAACCAGTATAACAAAGCATATCGTTTACCGCCAATTCAAGTCTCTCATGGTAGGTCAATCTACTCCGTACGGAGTACTGTTTCTTGCAATAGAATTAATTGGCAAGAGATCAAGATGACCCACCTACTGCTGTGGCCCGGGGATTCTGGACTTATCACCTAGTCTATCAGTCGTGTGACGGGGTTGGAAAATGGAACTATGCATACAATTATATGTATCAACTATGGAAAAGAGAGGACCTCTTGGCGTAAGCCAAGGCATGGTCTGTTCTCTGGAAAGCACTTTTGTTGGCTATCCTTGGAGGTAACTATCCTTGAAGGATGCACCCATGCTTGCGTTTAGAGGATGCGAGAGAAGCTTGGTACAACATGATCTTGTCCCAGTCAGTTCCTCATTCCTCATTTTGCTTGAGCTCGATCGTTGCACGCCTCAAGCCCTTAAAATGTCTTCAGGAATGCCATCGAGTTTCCTTCCTGAAACAAGACTGGGTCGCACCCGTGATACTGCACGGCTTCCATCCTAAATGTCCTGGCTACTTCTGATAAGTATAGCTGATGTGAGCAAAATTTAGGCATGTTCAAGCACTAGGCTTAGGAATTTCCACGTTATCAAAAGATAACACCTGCGACATGGCTAATGATAGGAATCTTGCGAAGCTTAGCTACTTACTTCTCCCGGTCCAAATGAGAGCCCTAGAGTAATTTTAAGGTGCAAGGGCGGTACTCTATATCTAAGTAGAATGAAACAAAATTCTGCTTCAATAGATGATTTTGACCATGAACTACTGGTTTCTCAACCTCCGACAGTCGGCACATTCATACTTGTAATTGTGCAAAACATCTCTTCTCATTGGCCGAGAAACTGTCTTCATTTGTCATCCGGCAATGATCTCAGATCACGTGTAATCAAATTGCGTCAGAGCCGAACAGACTCTCCGGTGTTTTTTTTCTACAATTCACCTGTTGACAACAATCTTTGTACATCAACTTGATAACATAATGTCTTTCAGCACTCCATCAACAACAATGTTTCGCCGCGCTCTGCTAAGCACCCGTCTGGCGACTCCCGTCGAGTGCTCCGCCCGAACAATCAGACCGGCATTCGCACGCTACAGATATGTGTCCAGCGCAGCCCGAATCCCGACCCTTACAGCATCAGAGACCCGTCGCCGACCAACAGTGCGACCATACCAGCAGCCTGCCTCGCACGGTGGAGTGAACGGCCTCTCACCAACCAGCAAACGCACCATTTTCATCCAGACCGAGAACACTCCCAACCCCGATGTAAGTTGCCGGAGCTCAATCATCCTGTCTTGATTAAAGAAACCAAACTGACCTGTCGTTTCCGATAATCTAGGCCTTGAAGTTCATTCCGAACCACCGCGTCCTCCCGGAGGACTTCCCCAGCACATTCCTCGAGTACATGTCACCACGATCTACCCTCGCGCCGCCACACCCATCTCCGCTCGCCGCGAAACTGCTCGATGTTGAAGGCGTCACATCCGTCTTCTACGGCACAGACTTCATCACAGTAACCAAAGGCAGCGACGCGAACTGGGCGCACATCAAGCCAGAGGTCTTCAGCATCATCACGCAAGCTGTGACATCTGGTGAGACAATTGTGACGACAATCGAGGGTGCTTTGGACGGTCAGCAGGAAAGTGGTGAAGACTCGCTGTCTTTCAACGAGGATGATGACGAGGTTCTCAGCATGATCAAGGAATTGCTCGAGACTCGCATCCGCCCTGCTATCCAAGAAGACGGTGGTGATATCGAATTGAAAGGATTTGAGGATGGTATTGTTATGCTGAAGCTGCGCGGTGCTTGTCGCACCTGCGATTCCAGCACTGTTACGCTGAAGAATGGTATTGAGTCTATGCTTATGCACTATGTATGTCCCTCCCCACCTCTCCGTTTCTTTGGCCTTGACATGTGGGCTCTTTACTAATTTTGTGTTTCTAGATCGAGGAGGTAAAGGGTGTCGAGCAGGTTATGGATGAGGAGGAGATTGTTTCCATGCATGAGTTTGCAAAGTTTGAGGAGAAGCTGCGCCAGCAGAAGGGTGCTGCTGCT